GTCCTACATATTGTATACCACACTTTGGCTTTGTTCATGTAACCAGATAAATGAGGCTTTGGGTTTTTCATGTAATGTCACAGGAAAAGGAAAGCGAAAAAGCTCTCCCGTTCACTGTTGACCTTACAGTATTATCAGAAGATAATCTAGATCAGGTTTGTCATTTTCTGGCATTGCACGGAAATATTTATGGATATCCACGTGCATTTTTATTGAATAATCTGGCTGCAGCAGCATTGCCACCTTTGGCACAATTATAAAACGTGCTAGATTTAGATGGGGAATTTCGATTGACGGCGGTTGAATTAATATTTGGAATGAGGTTTTTAGAGCACGTGAATATCCTTGAAGGATTATTGTATAATGTTTTCTTTCCATTTCGTAAAATCATGACAACATGGTTTACTATGTGGACATTGTTTTTTTTTCCCGAATCCCTACATGCTATTTGAAGTGCAATAGCCTATTACCAATATTAACTGCAGTTTTAGTTTACACACTTGTCCTCATAGTCCATACAAAGTTATAGCTATCTTCTCGGATATTGCCACAATATCCTTCATAATGAATCAGTTCACTCGAAAATACTTCTCTACGTTAAAGAACAGTCTGTATCCTACCATCTCTTATACCTATACAAAACCAATTGCTACTAAAATGTTCATTTACCAACACGTGCTGTGGGATCTCAAGTCTAAAACATCCTGATTGCACCTGTGCTAGTTCCCCGTTCATATACGAAATGGCTGGCTATGTTATCACTCACTGGTGATCTGACCCTTATCAATAACACTTCTCTGCGAAATGTCGACATATCGTGAGCCTAAATCAATTGGAAACACAACTTCAAAAACACTCATGGATTCAGTCGAGGATTATGCCAGGCAATGGGCTAATAGCAAAAAAGAAGACATAGAAACTCTTTCTGAATGGGCTAAGGCTGTGAGGTCGTTGATACAAATTAGAATTAAAAAACTGAATGGGTCTATGAATACACATGCTACATCAATTTTTAAAGACCCAAATGTGCTAAACATTAGTCCTATCTCCATAAAAAATATATGTCGTTGTCGCCGCATATAATGCCCCAAACAACATCGTGTTTATGTGTAAAGCACATTGCATAAACTGCTTCATTAAGGAATTATTTATTGATAATGTATATGGAAACTCAACATATACCCATACGACACTTACCAAGGAGGAAGCCCTAAATAATCAAAGGTCTATTCTATGTTCCTTTGGAATTTCAACCAAAGATGAAGAACTGTATCTTCCTTCGAAGAATTTGATACCTGAATTGCATACGTGTCTCTGCAAACAACGTTATATTGTTGGGTCTTCAAAGTTCTCCACGAAACCTCATTTTAAATCATATCAGTAATCAAAAACGGGCTTTTAAGTTATTGTGAAACTATCTACTCCATGGGTGGCGTAACTCAGATGATACTGAAACATTCCAAAGATCTGTTAGAGTACATACAATCTAAGTCTCTTTCCTCTTGCAGTAGTATTAAACATTTGTCTTTACTACCCTTTGCACAAATATTCTCCATTTCAAACTAAAAGACATATTTAAGGAATTGGTCCTTCTTTGTTTTTTAAAACAACGTGGATACATAACAAGTATCTTGTTTTAGGGAGGGTTAAATCGTACTTTTTAAAAAATCACGGATTCAAACAAAAATTCTCTGAAACCGATATTATAAAAATGCTTAAATTTTTAATTGACAACATATTTGTTACGTTTGGAATGCGTATTTTCAACAACATATTGGCATTCCCATGGGAACCAACTGTTCTGTTACCGACTTGTATCTTTATTCATATGAGGTTGACTTCATACAGGAGCTTCTTATGAAGAATTAAAAGCGGCACGCGTGATCCATTACTTCACGCTCTGTTAAAAAGATGATGTCCTCTCACTAAATATTTTAAAGTTTGGTGACTGTTGAACACATGTATCCAATCGAACTTGAAATAAGGGATACAAAATATATAGTTAAGTCTGCATCATATCTTAACTCACATCTAGAAATTGACAATGAGGGTCGGTTGAAAACAAAGTGTCCCTTTGGTATCTTTCGCCTCTCGTTAATCATATGGAATGGAAATGGGATTCTTTTATTTCATCTTTACGATCAAACATATAATGCCTCGAAAAGATTGGTCTTACTTTTGAATTTAATATGTTTACTAAAATCTTAAATTTGAATTGACAGGAAAGGCCTGCCCGGTGGACATGTGGAGATGACAAAATCCGACTATCTAATCTATCATGTAAAATCTATGGGAGTCAAAGGTCAACTGATTTGAATAACTCGGGTTACTCGAGGACATGGTCATATGAAAATTTTATAGAGCTGGACATGCAACAGAAAAGTTAAAGCGAACAATAGCTTGTCAGCAGGGTAATCTAATAAAATTGGAGTACTTCATTATAGGATTCAAAGAAGACAATAACTTTAAATCGAACTGTTCCATTCAAGTTCTAATAAGAATAATCATGCATTCATTCTTTATGTTTAGTGGTTTGCTGTTAATTTACTAACAATCCATGTATTTATTGGTAGGTTTGAATATGTAAGCTATCGTGTAAAATCTATGGGAGTCAAAGGTCAACTGATTTGAATAACTCGGGTTACTCGAGGACATGGCCATATGAAAATTTTATAGAGCTGGATATGCAACAGAAAAGTTAAAGCGAACAGTAGCTTGTCAGCAGGGTAATCTAATCAAATTGGAGTACTTCATTATAGGATTCAAAGAAGATAATAACATTAAATCGAACTGTTCCATTCAAGTTCTAATAAGAATAATCATGCATTCATTCTTTATGTTTAGTGGTTTGCTGTTAATTTACTAACAATCCATGTATTTATTGGTAGGTTTGAATATGTAAGCTATCGTGTAAAATCTATGGGAGTCAAAGGTCAACTGATTTGAATAACTCGGGTTACTCGAGGACATGGTCATATGAAAATTTTATAGAGCTGGATATGCAACAGAAAAGTTAAAGCGAACAGTAGCTTGTCAGCAGGGTAATCTAATCAAATTGGAGTACTTCATTATAGGATTCAAAGAAGACAATAACTTTAAATCGAACTGTTCCATTCAAGTTCTAATAAGAATAATCATGCATTCATTCTTTATGTTTAGTGGTTTGCTGTTAATTTACTAACAATCCATGTATTTATTGGTAGGTTTGAATATGTAAGCTATCGTGTAAAATCTATGGGAGTCAAAGGTCAACTGATTTGAATAACTCGGGTTACTCGAGGACATGGCCATATGAAAATTTTATAGAGCTGGATATGCAACAGAAAAGTTAAAGCGAACAGTAGCTTGTCAGCAGGGTAATCTAATCAAATTGGAGTACTTCATTATAGGATTCAAAGAAGATAATAACATTAAATCGAACTGTTCCATTCAAGTTCTAATAAGAATAATCATGCATTCATTCCTTATGTTTAGTGGTTTGTTGCTAATTTACTAACAATCCATGTATTTATTGGTAGGCTTGAATATGAGTCAAAGTCCTTTCTTTAACCAGTATTTTAGTAAACTATGCAAATCATTCAAAGTCAATGAATCATGACTGAAGGTGCAGGCTCAATTAACATCCATGGAAATGTAAAATGCCAATGCTGATATTACTACCATTGACTTATCATAAGTGGTTCCCTTTCAACTAACATAAACACAAACTTTAACTTGTAAACTATGTAAATGCCTCGAAGTCATTGAACCAAGATGAGGGAGTGGGGCCATATAATCTCCATAGAAATGAGACTTGCAAATGCCAATACAACTGCATACCCAATATCATTGACTTAACATTAGCAACTGATCTAATGACAAACATTAACATGTAAATAAAGCAAAACATATAAATTCAATGAACCATGACTGAAATAGGAAGCCAAACAATCTCCATGGAAATGAGATGTGCCAGTTCTTATACATCTGCATACAAAATATCATTGACCTCCTTCTAATAGTTCCCCTTAAAAGAGGGGCGAAAGATACCAAAGGGACATTCAAACTCATAAGTCGAAAATAAACTGACAACGCCATGGCTAAAAAAGAAAAAGACAAACAAACAATAGTACACAAAACACAACATAGAAAACTAAAGACTAAGCAACACGAACCCCATCAAAAACTGGGGGTGATCTCAGGTGCTCCGGAAGGGTAAGCAGATCCTGCTCCATATGTGGCACCCGTCGTGTTGCTCATGTAAGTACTAACCCGGTAATAAGTCTAATTCGGAAGGTCACATTAAACTGACCTAATCACAAACTAATACATGTAAACTTAGCAAAAGTTACGAAGTCAATAGACCATGATTAAGGGGGTGGGGCAAAATAATCTCCATGGAAATGAGATGTGGCAATGCTTATACAACTGCTGCTGCATACTACATATCATTGACCTACCACTAATGGTTCCCCCTAAACTGACCTAATCACAAACAAATACATTTAAACTAAGAGAAAGTTTCAAAGTCAATAGATCATGACTGAGGGGGCAGGCCGAATAATCTCCATGGAAATGAGTTGTGCCAATGCTAATACCACTGCATACCAAATATCATTTTCCTACCACTAGTGGTTCCCAAAAAATTTACCTAATCACAAACTAATACATTGTTGGCGCTGTCGATGGAAACAGAACACAAAGTCTCCCTTTTTCAACATGAGACAAAAACACAAAATAAATGAAATATTTTGCGAATTGTTTTTTTCGTTTGTTGTAAATAAAAGTAGTTGAAATTTGATAAAAATCATATCAATTTCGTTTTACTACAAATTCTCCACCATCTTGCCTTTTTACTCTACTTGACTAAAACTAATTAAGGAGTGGTTGAACTTGACTCTGGTTAAAAGGTCAAAATGATGAGTTTCTGAGTTACTCATACCATTCGATTGAAACTCTAGTAACATGAGTATTACGACTTAATGAAATTGAAGTTGACCATAAAATAAAATACACAAAGGTAATCAAATATCAACAATTTATTTCTCATAATAATAATTATTTTTATACACAAGTGAATCATATGCACAGAATCGTGCATAAATATTATTATAAGCTTTAATATAGTACAAACTCAAAAGACTCAATATAAAGTCTACTCATACAAGCACCACATTCAAACCAAAATGTCTATAAATAGTAACCAATTCTATTTTTAGCATTTAATACCTTTTGATATTCTCATTTTCTACTTTATTTTGTTTTAAATTTTAAAAGAAATGTTTGTTTAAATCTTTCAAATCGTTTAACATACATGATTGTTTGGACAGAAAAATTTCATCATGGGAGTATTTTTTCCATGAGATTTAAGTACAAGAAGTAATTGCAGTATTTATATAATTAATGTGTATTTGGTATAAAAAAAAAGAAGGTTTTATCTTGTAATTGGACGAAAATAGAAAACAGGAAAATTGCAAATATCATTTCTTTTGAACAAGATAGTTCAAGATTATATTTCTGTTTCTAAAATCTATGGTTTTGCTCCATTGATATGGTACCAAAAGTATGACATTGTATTTGTATAGATTTTTCTTATTTCAAATTACAATTAAGTCTGTTGAAAAAGAAAACAATCTCACCAAACATTCTTTGAATAGATATTTAAAACAAAGTATATCAAAAAGATATATCATCTTTTAGTAATACTCACTTATAGACAACACTTTTTTGGCTTACTATTCAGATTCTGTTTACAATTTATAAGGGATATTTAATTGGCAAAAATGTTCATCAATTCCAGGAATTTTACTCTAGAGGAACAAATATCATTTTTGAAATTAGTTCATTACAAAAGATGGATGAAACAACTACACAGAAATGTTATTATAAGTATTTTTTAGCCAACAACAGGAGACAAACATGAACAACAAATCTGAAATAAGACCCCCCTTTTTTGGCAAGATGAAAAACCTGAAGAGTAAAAATCCTGGGATTGTATTTTGTGAGATAAGCATCTGAGTAAGCTATAAATGGACTATTAAAATGGAATTCATGATTCTTAACATGATAAACAATATAAAATCATCTAACAGTATATAGATACAGTACATTAAAATACAATGGTCATTTTTTCGGTCAAAAAATCACTAAAAAGGTAATGTCTCTCTTCTATGTCTGAATATGTTTTTCACAAACCATTTTTAGTTCTAATATTAAAAATTACTACTGTAATCTCATTTGAACCTTAAAAATGTGAAGTTTAAACTTTTGAAAATAAATGAACAACCATTTGAACATTTTGGAACATGTTTTATAAGTATGTCTCGTTTTCAATTTTACTTACATCCTTCAACATTCTAAATATTATCACAACCTTTTGATTGCTAATCGTTTCACAATTCAACATTAAAGGTCCAATTCTTGTCTAAATCCAAACAAATTAGTGTGTAATTTCTGAATATACTTTTTTTCCAAAATTAACAACTTCAAAGATAGAAAACACAACTAAGAAATAGTAATATCAAAAAAACAAACATTAACTTGTAATGTACTGTTTTTCTCTAAAATAAGTCATTGCACAAAGTCATTAGCCACAGAAAAAACATCTACAAGAGAGTAACCTTCTATTAAGTAACAGCTATAGTGGACTACAGAGAAAAACATTTCATTATTAAGACAATTTGATGATAAAAGATCTGGTGAAAAACTAACAACAAATTCATTTTTTCTTTTACATTAATTAGCTTTCCAAAAGTAATGTAATACACAATTAAAGATAATGTTTACCACAAAATCTACATGATTTTCAAGTAAAATTGGTTTTGCATGAATATTTCATTTTCTAGAAAACAGCATAAAATTGACATTTTTTTAAACAAAAATTGATGCATAAAACAATGATTTATTCAGGATACCATTATTTTTTACCATACTTTTTTTTAAAAACAAAAATGCCCTTTTACTGTTATTCACTTGTAAACAATGGTCTGTAGACTTATTAATTGTAGTTTCTATTTTTAATATTAAATATGCTTCTGGTTTCTATCTATTTAAACAAATGATGTGTTCTGTACATCAAAAATGGGAAAGCTTAACATTGCATAAACCAGACACCTGTCTAATCAGAAATCTAGAGCATAGACTTTTTTAAACAGTTTTCACTGTACATTATAACACATAATTCTTATACTTTCAATGACAAATGAATTTTAATATCATAATAAATCTAGCCACAGAATGTTAAGATAATTTTACCAATTTTTATAGAAATACATTGTAAAATGTTTTGTAGCAGTTTATCTATCTACACATAGTAAGGACAAACTAAAAATGTAGCCATGTTTAGCATTCCCTTCTTCAATTTTTTCAAACTATTTTGCTCAGTTAATTTACTTTTGAGTAAATGTTGTCAGGATTTACTTCCAAAATGGTCAACAGAAATTTTGAGGTACATAAATAAGATAGGAAAGGAAACACTGAACACAATTACTTTTATTCATTTTGGCCTCATACATTTTTGCAATCTCCACATTAAAATGAAAGACCTTGAAATCTGAGTAACAATTGAAAGAAATGAACATGAAGTACACTACTTGTTCTAAACAGACTTTTTTATTTAGCTGATCACATATTCCTATGACTACAGCTAACTGGATTTTTTTTACTAAATGCTGTGAAGAGATAAGAAAATATTTAAGCTGATGACTATAATGCCTTGAAAATGAGGTATTTTCACTTCCAGTTTAGTAAACAAGATTCACTACCCTCGTTTCAATGTTTTGTAACAGTCAATAAAGTGAGCATGGTACAAGCATATGTACCAATTGTTAAAATAATCATTAAAATCTGAAACATGACCATTTCTTTTGAAAGTTTTTTTATTCCAATTAAAAAATATCTTTCATAAAAGGTAAATCTTCAAATACAATTATTTTCTGAAATCCAAAACTATAAAGCCTCTCTTTATCTTTATAGGCATGGTACATGTACAAAACATTGCTTGTTTGAACACATTTTGTTGCATTAATTAACAGAAATAATTCTTTATTATCCCCCCTTAACTAAAGCAGAAAGCTTATTCTTCAACATGGCGCCTCAAAAAAATGTATGGTTTAAATGTAGATAAAAAGCTATTCTTTGCATTACTCACAAAAAGTCTCTCGACTAAAATTGTTCTTAAGTTATACTAAAATGTTTGCAACTTACTAGTGATTTTACTCATAGATATTTGGTGAAATGGGTAACTATCTTTTACATCTTGCAGATTTCTATATTGTCAAACTGTTAAAAACTCTGATGCATCAAAAACTACAAAATCAATAATTGATTGGAATTCCTCAAATTGTTATCAAAGATCCTTAAAAATCCTTTAAAATTAATAATATAATGATGAACATTCAAGTTTCACAATGCTTAAATGAAAATTCTTATGGATAATTTTCATGGTACATTTTCTTTTAATATTCTTCAATTAAAGCTTAAGAATGGCTTTCTGTTTTATATGTATATATTTAATCTATTCTAGAAAAATCACTAAAGCACAAGTTATTTTACAGTTACAGACAAAATGATTGTCTTGAAAATATGGCGGGATAAATAAATACATCCATGAGCAAATGTCTTATTTCAGGTTGTTTCATATTCTTACTATGTGTTTTCAATTGCATGGTGTAACTAGATATGAAAGTAAAGTGGAATTCATATAAGGCCAAAAAATATATATACTCGTTTGTTTCCTGCCTCCCAGCTTAAAAAGGGTAGGATCTAAAATAATTTCATTTTTTTCAATATTTTACACATTCTTATTACTATTTTGGAAATAGTAAATGACCTGACCTTAGCCAAAATTGTGTATATGTGAGCTGCATCAAATAGAAATCAACCTTATACAAGTGCATGTACACATGTAAACATACAAGTCTTTGATTGATTTTGGAACATTCAAATACAAAATTTAAGATGAATTTTGGTCTGTATTGAAGGGTTCTTATATCAACTAAATTTTGAAACAGTTACAGACTTTCCATAGAGATTTTTTCAACCTGATTTAGGTTGACAGATGTATTGATATTCATTTGCCATTTGATAAGGGACTTTCCTTTTTGAATTTTCTTTAGAGTTCAGGATTTTTGTTATTTTACTTTTTTGGATAAGATTGATTTTTTTATCCGATGCAGCTCATTTGTTAAGAGTATACTTAAGTATAAAAATTCAGGGTATGTATGGGAGCAGGAAAGCAAACTATATGACTTTTTGCCATATAAAGAGTGGTTGACAATATTTTAAAAGGTTACAAACTTCTGCCATTTGTAAAATACAAAATTAAATCAGTCAAAAATTGGATTAATATGGAGTAAAACCTCTTATGAAAAATCTCTCTGAATGGAATTAAATTCATTGAAAAAATGTACGCTTTCAAGGAAGAAACTTTCATAAATCTATTTTGGAAGCATAGTGCCAGATTATATGGAAGTTATTATGTAATGTTGTGAAGGCTTTTTCTTAAAAGGGGTAGGTATTACATAGGTTTCACTTTATGCTGTGTCTTTTAAAAAATACTACAACTCTGAATTGCCATTATTTCTGAAGAAAAACTTAATAAATTGAAAATAATCAGCAACTGTTATATTTCACTATCTTGTACAATTTTTGAAATACCTAATACAATCTTAGATGGATATCACAAATGAGAAAAAAATTATCAAAACTAAAATTGCCTTTATGTATTATACTTTTTCAATTCATTTACCTGAAAAACACCTGGATTTTCTCATGTGGACAAAGGTTGTGCATAGATAACTGCATGCATAGTAAAATTTGTGAATCAAAATACTTTTTTCAAAGTTCTTCTTTAAATTAAAGTAAATCTATGATACTGTGAGATTTCTTAATTTTCAAGGATACCAATTGGATTGAGGAAAAATTGAATTTTCGTGGAATTTTGATTTCAATATACAAACTTATGGAAAATTTTTAATTCATGAATTTTTAAAATATATGTTTTACTGAATACCCACATATCCAAAAGAATTAGTAACCAACGAATAATAATGAATCCACAGTATTGCCATTTTTTGTCTATAAATTTGCAGATGTGTACCATGTGTACAGTTGATAAATCGGTCACCAAATGACAAAATATCAAAAAAAGCTATATAGAGTATATGAAATACTTTTCCAAAAGAAATAAATCTATTTATGAACAAAACAATAGGACATACTGGCTTTAGATTAACTCTCTGTTTGAAAAATTCTTTATAAACTGTTAAGTTATTTTTTTCTATTTTTAAACAAACTGAAACATAGAATTGTGGCCAACCAAAAATGGAGAGTTTCAGGTTTCAGTGTAAAAAGTAGGGTAAATTTGTCAATATTTAATTTCATAAAGGTTTTAACTTTAGTATTGTTTCAAGTAGGTAGACGTCTGCATTATTTCCCTTGGTGCTCACAATGGTGGAAAGTTAAAAAAGAAGAAATTTTTAATTAGATATATCACCAATCTCAATAATTTTATTCAAACCACACATCTCCTAATTTTCATTTCAAATACATATATTACTCCTCTCCATAACAATAAAAAGAGGAAACTGAAACACTGACATTTTTCATATAGGCCTACGGTGCAAAAACAATATAGTGAGTATATAAATCTATCACAGGGTTGGAAATCTTCTATAAAAATTGTTCAATTACAAATCTGGTGACACTGAAAATATATAGTGAAGCAAATATATAAATTTATAACTCCCAAGTTATTCCAAGAAACTCATAATTAAACGGACAAAAATAAAAAAATACTCCTTTGTATCATGGTAACATCAAGTTTAATTTCAAACATAAAAATTTTGACTAAACAGCAACATTTAAAACTGCATAATATAAATACATAAATATGTATACTGTGGATTCAGATTTTTTTGTCTGGCACTAATTTTCTTAGATTCCAAGATAGTGGTTTACCATAAATTTTAAAGTTTAACAAAATGCAAAATTCTTTATAAGCTTGTATATATGTATTTGGCCTGTAGATTTTCTTGTAGAGTTTGTTAAAACCTTAAAATAAAACATCCCCTAAGAAGTCCGCTAACTCGCAAAAAATTTGTGATGAAAAAAAAAAATCCACAGTAACTGTAAGCTTTGAAAAAAGTAGAGCTTCGATGAAAGACAGAAGAAAGATTTTCATGGAGAATGAAAATTGGTCAGGTAGTCGGATTGGTTATATCTGAATCTACATAACAACATCTGAGACATTCAAATCATAAAAATAAAACCAGGTCCAAAACTAGCATGCTGGTGTTAAGTCCCATGTGAAGATACACCTGCAAAGAAATAAACACATTTTACACAATGAAAACAAAAACAAAAACAGGTGTACGGTTGTTTATAGCATGCAAAATTCTTAAGATGCTCGTGACCCACATGCAATTTCATTGTCATCTCCATCTAACAAATCTTTACCATAGCCTAATCTGATCAAAATACAGACCCTCATGTCCCAATTCGCTTAGGATCTGACAATGTTTTTTTTTGCTTTCTGTTTAAAGAACTTTTTGAGATTTTATGGATTTGCCTTGATAAAACATTCCTTAAAATATTTAGAGGTTTAAGTTTCATTGGTTGACGTAATGAATTTCAGAACAGGAAGTAAAATAGATCATTGACTGATCCTTGTAAGTAAAGTGTGGAGAAAGAGCTGTAATTAAAATAGATTGTCTTTTCTTTTTGAAAATTTTCTATGAGTGAAGTTTTGAAATTGTTTTTTGCCCAATCATTTTGCCGGTTTCTAGCTTTAATTGTCTTATTTGTTGGTTAAACAAAGAATGATATGGATATTTTAATTGTCAGATCAGTTTTGGTGTTACACTAAGACATGATTTGTGTGTTTCTAACTAATATGCAACAAGAAATTAATTCAAATCACTGAATGTTTAACCCTACTTGCTGATTTTTTCATTACATTAATACTCAGCATAAACTATTGCTTTTGAGGAGAAATTCCCGTAAAAATAACAAACCCGAAAGAAAAAAAATCAAAATTAGCCAGAATCAATAACTTTCATCTTAAAACTATAAGTGAGCAATACCTAAATATATTTCTATTTGCGATAGCCCAACTGACAGTAAAAATTCTTTTTATATTTAAAAAAAAAATAAGACATGAAAAAAACACAACAACTTTACTAAAGTATGTAGGAAAAGGAAAATACATTTTAAATCAGGATATGGCATACACACAAAATGTAAAATTTGGCCAAGTCTGTACACAACTATGAATGCAAGTGTCAGGTCTAAATATTTCATGCTATCACAAATGATGAAGAAATGGATAGTGAATGTTCACTTAAAATTGTTTAAACTTTTATTTGGCATAGCTCTTTGATTTTGTGATTGACTAGGTAAATACTGCATTTGTTTTGATATAACATGTTCAACCTGTACAAAATGAATTGCAATAGTAAACAGAATATCATTTAGTTCTTTTCTTTGTGCTTTTGCTAGTAAAAAAAATTGCAAATTTTACCCATGAAGTCACGTTTCTCATTATATTCATGATTACCCTATATTTTCATTTCAATATAAAGGAAAAAAAATACCATCTTGTTTTTGAAATTTTTAGGCATAAAAAAGAGCAAATTTTAAAATGAGTGAAAATAACTTGACATGTAATTATAAACAACATTTAGCAACAAAGAATAAGTCATGCACATCAGGCGCTATACCTCCACAGATATTTATATTTCTGCACTTTTTGTCATTTAAAATGTTGAAAAGAATATAAAAGTTTTGGATAAACAATTCAAACAAAAACTGCCCTGTATGCTCATACTTCACACATATAATATTATTGCATTATGATTACTGATAAACCAATGTCATTCTTTCTATTTTTATATATATAATGTGAAATGAGAATTTAATGATTACTGGCTAAAAATCGAATAAAACATGATTATCACAGTCTACTTTCAACTTCTAACAAGAATCATTTATCATGACAGAAACACAGTTGATTGCCTGGGTGGGTGTGGCTCACTCTACCTGTTGATGGGGGTGAAGAGTTGATTCTTGGCATTTCACAGCATTCACACTTGTTTAAGGCAGGATGATTTAGAAGGGTACACGCTGAACAACTCCACTGCTCTCCATCCCCATCTGAATCCCCTGACCCTGCTGGAGGTTGTTGGGGTGGGGCAGGAGGAATGGCATGGATCCGTGGGGGTAAAGGTGGTGGTGGTGCTGAAACAAAAATAGAAATACAAATCTTAATCATGTCAGAAACAAACAGCTATGAATTACAATATTAATATAGATACTGTAAATACAGACTATCTTTATCATGTTCATACTAGTTATATATTTGGTTCGAAACACAAAACAACATTTTTTCATAAATTTTATGGAAGTTAAGTTGGTCACAATATTTCCATATGTTACTAATTTTATATAACAATTTGTGTGGCAGGTGTTGAAAATATGTGATCACGTCAGAGAAGTACATATTTTTTTGGCAATACTGCATACTTACAATCACTGGTAGGTGGATCTGGAGGAGGGGGAGCAAAAATACTCCCCCTTTGTCCTGGATTCATGTTCTGGAAAAAGTTCTGTTGCTCTAGTGCATTAGGGTCACAGACTCCTAATGGTACTACAAAACAATTATTAAAGAACATTAATCTAACAAATATTGTTATAAAGACATAACAGTTACTCTCCCCGAGCACCTATGATCACCCCAGGTTTTGGTAAGGTTGGTGTCGATCAGTCTTCAGTTTTCTATGTTGTATTTTGTAGGCTGCTGTTTGTCTTTTGGTCGCTTTTCTTTTTTTTTGCCATGGCATTGTCAGTTCATTTTCCACTTATGAGCTTGACAATCCCGTAGGTATTTCCACCTCTTTTTTTTATTTAAGATTGGCCATTATCGCTGACGGCTATTGTTAGATAAACCGACATGATGATTTGTAGTGGCATGTTAGTATCCTTCTGTTTATTCCATCAGCATGTCACAACAAAACTATCATGGCTTCATGCATGCATGCCACAATTACAAGAAGAGAGGGTTAAATTGTCCTGATACAATAGTTGAAATTCCTAAATCCACTATATTAGTACTGTATTCTTATATAAAGAATTTTGCACACAAATTACTTCGCAAAATAATTCTGTCAAGTTGGGTTCTACGGCCTGATTAAAAAAGTAAGCTGCATCAAAATTTTGTACTTTTTAAGTAAATTTTAAAAGCTGTTTTAATAAAATAGCTATTTTTTTAAAATCTGTATCCCATAAACACAGACTTGGTCTTTCTGCATAAAAGACTTACATAGACCATTATTATAATTATCAATCTCCCTTGTCATCACTTGGATGTCTGTCTGTAACCTTCGGTTCACCTCCCGTAACTTGGCAACATCTTCAATCTAAAAATAGAGTAAATTCAAGTTTTCACATGATAGTCAGGAAGATGGATAAATTTTTACATGTTACTATCAATGGGTAATGAACATTCATGTTTACTGAAATTTGAATGAATTTCTTTTTTTATCTGAACAACTCAATATTAGGCATGTTAGGAGGTGCACCACTTCAATAGGTGTGCAATCTTTCTTTGATATTTTAAGAATTTGGGTTGAAACCTGTTGTAGGAGTTGACTACATAAAATTGACACCATCTTTTGTAAATTTTACTGTTACTTGACTGTTAGTGTTGCTCTCATCCTATTGCAACTTATTCAAAATTCTGACCTAATTGCAATTTGTTTTATAAAACCAAACTGTTCAACTGGTCAGATTTTGAACAAACTGCTGTAGAAAACCACAGTCAAGTCGTGAAAGTGCAAGCTGATAAAATAAAGCATACTTACAATCCTAGAAGACTATAATTCCGCTTCAATGTTATTTTGAAAAATCAGTCTAACAGTTTGTATAGAAATTTTATTGTTATTGTCATGCTAAAGGTGATGGATAGAAGTTTTGAATTGCTATAAAAATGTCCAAACAAAGCTTTCCTACAATTTTTCTTTCTAAAAGTCTTCTATATTCAGTAAAATATATGTAAAATTACAATACGTTGTTTATAAGTTTCCATGGGAGATACCCTAAAACATTATTCTTTTGAATATAGAAGACTTTTCGAAAGAAAAATTGATTATCTCCCATGGAAACTTCCTAACAACATATTGTAATTTCACACATATTTTACTGAATATAAAATGTTTATTTCAAATGAAGTCTGATTCTTATGAATATAGAAGACTTTTAGAAAGAAAAATTGTATGAAACCTTAGTTTGGACATTTTTATAGCAATTCAAAACTTCTATCCATCACCTTTAGCATGACAATAACAATAAAATTTCGATACAAACTGTTAGACTGATTTTTGTCGAGCCTTCGACTTTTGTCGAAAAACCGAGACATAGCGATCCTACATTCCGTCGTCAGCGTTGTTGTCGTCGTCGGCGTCCACAAATATTCACTCTGTGGTTAAAGTTTTTGAAATTTTAATAACTTTCTTAAATCATTCTGGATTTCTACCAAACTTGGAAAGAAGCTTGTTTATGATCATAATATAATATTCAAAAGTAAATTTTGTAAAAAAAAAAATCCATTTTTTCCGTATTTTACTTATAAATGGACTTAGTTTTTTCTGCCAGGAAACATTACATTCACTCTGTGGTTAAAGTTTTTGAAATTTTAATAACTTTCTTAAACTATCCTTGATTTCTACCAAACTTGGAAAGAAGCTTGTTTATGATCATAAGATAGTATCCAGAAGGAAATTTTGTAAAAAAAAAATTCCATTTTTTCTGTATTTTACTAATAAATGGACTTAGTTTTTCTGCCAGTTAACATTACATTCACTCTGTGGTTAAAGTTTTTAAAATTTTAACAACTTTCTTAAACTATCTTGGATTTGTACCAAACTTGAAAAGAAGCTTGTTTATGATCATAAGATAGTATCCAGAAGGAAATTTTGTAAAAATTTTGTTCCATTTTTTCCGTATTTTACTTATAAATGGACTTAGTTTTTCTTCCAGTTAACATTACTTACAGTCTGCAGTTTAAGTTTTTAAAACATTTATTAGATTCATAAACTATCCTGGATTTTTACCAAACTTGGACAGAAGCTACTTACAATCAAAAGATAGTATAGAGAGGAATATTTTTATTAATTTTTTTCCTCATTTTTGTTGAGCCTGCGATTAACAGCAAAAGTAGGAGAGACACTGGGTTCCGCGGAACCCTTACGAATTTTTCATAATAACATTGAAGTGGAATTAAAGTCTTATAGGATTGTACAATGTTGTAAGTATGCTTTATTTTATCACCTTGCACTTTCACGACTTGACTGTGGTTTTCTACAGCAGTTTGGTCAAATTTCTGACCAGTTGAACAGTTTGGTTTTATAAAACAAATTGCAATTTGGCCAGAATTTTGAATAAGTTGCAATAGGTGGAGAGCAACACTAACAGTCAAGTCACAGTAATGTAAAAAGAAGTTTATACATGTTATATCGGATTATGTGACTGTTGTCAGTCTTCGGAGGTAATCCAAATGGTTCTTTAGATGGCGGCTAGACTAAAATACACTCAAAATTCTGATATATATTATTGAGTACATGCATTGTTGACTGTTTATTTCCGACTTATTGTAATTTGGATATACATTTTAGTATGTTATAAATCAAATATGAGAATTTGAGTCAAATCAATGAACATGAATTTGACAGCTAATGCACCTTTAAAAAGGTTAAACGTGATATTCATCGGACCATATAAGTATATACCTATGTGGTCATGACATAACACATATGGTCCAGATCATTTACATTTGTTCTGAAATATAAAGCCTTAAAGCTTTATAAATCACTGTGGCCACTGAATTAGCATCTATATGCAAGAGAAAACCAATGCCCCCCCTCCAAGAAGTATGGCCGAAACCTTTCTTGCTTGTTCGATCAGTCAAATTGCATTGAAGCTTTTGAACAACCGTTAATGTTGAGCACATGGAAACAATATTTTCCTGAATGTTAGTCTACATCTGGGCCTTTACAGTATACACTTACTGAAGCTGATGGGAACAGTTAACATTTCTTGTGGTGTGTCTGTTTTCTAAAGTACAGTCGAACCTCATTATGTCGAAGTCAAAGGGACCGGACTTAAAATGATTCGACTTATCAGAGGTTTGACTCATGCGAGGTCGAGTGTGTCATCATACATTTAGAATACATGAAATACCACATGAGATTTGTGTAAACTAGATACTTTGAACATTGTGCCTTTTTTCAACATGACACTTAATGATTGTGTATTCAATCTCTATATTTCGTTGGTCCTTCATCATTTCATAATAATTAAACAAACAAGAACAGATACAAATCATGCACAAATAAAATCAAAAGTATATATACACCAATATTTACAAAGGTCAGTCACTATAAATTATGAAATCACTCGCGGAACGAAACAAGTTCTGATTGGTCTCTGGTTAGGTCGTCTATTTTACAATAAATTATTATAAATCTATCATTATTGTCTTAATCCTTTTATTTATTGTAATTAATGAATTTTAATTCTAACGATTCACTTAATCTCGGCTTGGGTCATTTAAATTCATTTTGTTTTTATGTCAGTTTAAATATGTTCCACACACTAATGTTCCGCTTGGACGATGAACAAAGGTGTTAATTACCGGTCACCATAAATATGTCATTTTAACTGTTATACAAACAAGTATGTTAACTCAGCTTTAATCTCTTTTGAAAGTGATTAGGTTACATACAATGTAATAAATACATCTGATTTGAAATTTTATCATTAGGTCTGCATCTTTCGAAAATTCTTACTTTCGAACTTCGAGACATCGGGGTCAATTTACATTAATTTTACATCGACAGGACAATAAAATTTACTCAACTTAACCGAGTATTCAAATCAACCGAGTTGGACTCATCAGAGGTAATTATGCATTGATCAAAGGGGAATTTTAACGGGACAGAGAAATTACTTCGACTCATCAGAGTTCGACACAACAAGGTTCTACTGTAAGTCTATGTCTAGACCTCTACAATATATACTTACTGAAGGGGAACAGTTAACACTTCTCGTGGTGCGTCTGTTTTCTAACATATTTTTCTCCATCTGATTCACTTGACTTCTTAGCTTGGCTAATTTTCTCAGTTCTGATTCTAAATCAAGTTTTAATTTTAACATTCTATCATCCTGAAAACTAATAAGTGCTGAAAAACAAAAAATTCATTATTGAAACATGTGTCAAAACAAATTTTATGCTAATTTTTAAAGTTAACATGGTGAACAGTCCTGAAAAATTGAAAAATTATTTTCAACTTTCATATCTACAACATGAAATAGAGGTACAACAAAACAAGCCAGGAATCTTATGTCTAACATGCATGACATGTATAATAACAAATGATAAATGTATATATCTTTTTTCTTTAAATTTTGCTTCTTTTTTTGTTTTTGTCGTTTTAAGAATTTGTTGTAGTTGGCTGATCAATTAGTTTATGTGTCATTTAAAATTATCCATGATGTCCGTAACTTTCAGACTTTTGTTTTGTTAGGCAACTTAGGCCAAAAAAAAGAATATGTTTGTTTGCCCTAACCCTACCTACCCAGAAAATAGCTGCCTACTCAAATCTTTTATTGTCCTGATTGCAAATTTTTTTTTAATCAGATAGGCATGAAGACTAAAAAAACATCTGACACTTCAATCTACATGATCTATCCTAGCCGAAAAAAGAAAATGCCTACCTACCCACTGTCTCTACTTTGGGTAGGTTTTGGGCAAACCAAAATATTTTTAAGTGTGGCCTTATTTGGAGAGTTAAGTGTTGATAGTAGAATTTATAAAGTTTGTGTTTAATCCATATACAACATGTATGAAGACTGTATATGTTGCCCTCTAACTAAGAGTCTTTTAGTTATTTTCAGTGTTCACCCCAGGGCATTTTAGCATCATGGTAATGTGATACTATATTTCTTGAATGTGATGTTATCTGAATTGGTTTTCTTATAGATTATGTTATGGATGTGATGTTATAATTTTTAGAAACAAGAATGAAGATGGTATTTCAATTTCCCCTGTTTACCAGGATGCTTAATGAAATATCTGGGGAGAACACTGATTTTTAATTGTTTTTGTCATTGTGTTGCTACCCCATTGATCATGTTTAGGTTCACAGTTCACCCCACATATACTTTATTCAGACAGGAGATATGGATCACCACAAGCTATTTACGGTTAGTGCTTCTCCACCCTGGAATTTCCAGCACCACTCTTGATTTTTCTCAGCAACCATCTTACTGCCTTAAATTTTGAGACAATATGAGAAAATTTGGAAAGTAATTCTTTAAAGAATTATTTTTTTTTTGCATTGTCATAAAACCATGAAACATTCATTTCAACCATTAACATAATTTTAATACTAGCTGTAACCTATATACACCATTTGTGTACACACTGTATACAAAAAAAAATTATATTTAATTTACTTCCTGGTTGCTTGAATATTTTTTCAGATATTCCATTACATACAGACACAACAGAAAGTGAAAATCTTATAAAAAAAAAATCTTGTTCACGTTATCATGGTGACTTACACAATTTCATGCCAAGCAAATAGTTTGTACAATGTATTCATCATGTTCATAGATATTGAGGTTAAGAGCTCACTTATCTCTGTGTTCATTTTACTGTCGTGTGACAAGATCATGAAGTTTATGCATTAGAATTATGAAAGTAACAACCCCCTGAAATATGCCCTGATAATATGCACATTTACATTTCATATGAAGTTTTACCTTGAGTATATGCTGCTTCCTCCTGTATATTACCAGACTGTCTCCTCGGAATGTCGGGAGGAGGCGGATGATTATGAGATGAATCCGAACTAAGACTACTATGACTAGAACTGGGTGACGGCACCACTTTTGGTTGAAAAGTCAACGTGGACACATGACGTCTTTCACCGTCTGGATTTCCTATCACACTGTGATCACTTTCGGAACTACTGCTCCGAGACGCTATAGGAGGGTGTCCCGAAATATGAGAGTCATTAGGATAATAAGGATAAAAATGTCCATTATCACCATGACTAGTTCCTCCTAAAGGATCTGGCAAGTATTTAAAGGAGGGCGGATTAACTGCCCCACTTATGTTGATGTCACTAGCACTTTGAGAAATTCCGTGTTCAGGATGATACGTAGGTGGCGTCCCTACATTTACAACCAAAGGTGTGTAATAATTATTACAAGGTGTTGCACCATTGTCCATGCCAGTTAAAAAGGGTTCACTATGTGACCCATGCAAACCAGAGGGATTATAGTTCCCTGGTTGATACACTGGAGTTCTATCACCCGGTTGTAATCTTATAATGTTCAATTGCCCATGTTCTAAAGGCTGCACAGAGAAAGACCGCTGGGCCACAGGAGGACCCTGATTCATTGAAGCTTGGCTAGTGATGGGTGAACGTTGCAAACTATAGTTAATATTTCCATGCTGATTAATATAATTAGGATGCCCAACAGCATGACTGCTTGGTGGTAGTCTATTGTCACCTTGTTGATATAAAATATTATAAACTAAAGGATTTTGTGAGCTTCCTGAAGGTTTTTCTTGGGGACTGCGTATAGTTTGAAAATGTTGAACTGGAATTTGCCGAATCCCTGGTGGAACATTATTAGTCTTTGTCTGGGGACTTGTAGATGCAACACGACATTCAATGTTCTGTATACAATTTCCAGGGTTTTTAACATACTGATTAAAATCAGATGTAAAACTTGGCTCCATTGGTGGAGGTCTATATTCACTAGGAAGTTTATATGAGGAAGAACTAGATGCGCTTGCACTACTTATTCCACTTGATGCAGAATCACTCCTTGTACGTTGGTCATTAATGTGCATGTCCTGTATTTTATTAGGTATATATTGTTCGTTTCCAAATAAAGCATTGGGTGTTTCTCTATCAAGAGCTTCTATACATTTCTTTCTATCGTTTTTATTCTGTAATAAAAAAAAATAAGTATGTCATACAGTATATATGTACATGTAATTCAGCAAAATGTATAAAACACCACTGACATTTTTTTTTGGTTTTATTATAATATAAATTTAAGATAATAATTTCCTTACAAATACAACTGATTATCATGATTATTGTTTTTAAAGTTTTTGTGCTTATTTGATTATTTTTTGTCTGGTCTTGTCTTTTGAAAAAAATTACTTCAACTTTAAAATATAAATAAAAACAAGCATCCATTGGACACAGGATACCATGCCCATAAAAACTTGGTACCTATATCTACCTTAAACATGTTAAACTGTGTCTTTTATCTGATACAGGATAGATGAATAAACAGATCAAAAAACAATATCCCCCTTCTGTTATAGTTATGACATAAAAATTTATGTTCATAAATATATACCCAACATCTTGAAAAATCTCTTTAAAAAAGATAAGAAAAATTGGTGATTGATCAATTTGATTGAAATACAAATTGTGTGTCAGGGCGTTCTACTTTCTGTTTGTTAATTATTAAGTCGACCAATCAAATTACTGCCTTCAAATTTTTAAAGGTATGTTCAACATGTTCAATGTATCAGTACAACAAATCCCAATGATCTCTGGAAATGTCTTTAGAACATTAAGTAAAACAGAGTGCTGTCAGAACCTTGTTAGGGTAGCATGGACACAGGATATGTATTTTAGTCAGATAAGTCTTATCAATATATATCCTCCATTTCTGGACATCAAATTGTACTATTCAAACTATTCACAGATTTTCCCATTAAATTTTGAATATCACAAGAGAAAAATGATTGTTGTATAAATTATAATGTCAATAGTTCAAGTATCCCAAATCATTGGATCATTTGTTGAAGATTAGAAAAGGTCTATTGTAATGGACCATATGGACAGTCATATTTGATATAAGCACTTCATGCTCTTTGCAATTGAAAACAGTTGGTTGAACCAAGTTTACAGCAATTTCATTTTACCAAAGTTGATTTTCTTTAATTCTTACAAGTTTACTTTCCTTACACGGTTGATTATTTTTATATAGTCAATGTGTGGTCCACTTGATCTCACTTCTTCATTGGTAAAAAATCAATAATGAAGTCTCTCTCTGATGTTACCTACATTTTAACATGCACATGTTTTCCAATCATATACATGATATATGCAAATTCTCATTTGATACAATATCCCACCACTTTCAACAGTAAAATTTGAAAAATCGAAATCGCTTTTAAAACTTTTTTTTTATTGAAATATCTCTAGAGGATTTGTTTAGTGATAAAGTTACAGTGACCCACATTTTTTTTTACATCCACGTTATTTGAACTTCGGTAGAGAGTTTTCTCATTCACAATCATACCAAATCTCCTTATTTTTTCATTGTCTGTTTTACTTTAAAAATTCAGGGGCGGATTAGGGGGTGTGCCCAGGCCCCCATTATGGAGCTTCATTTATGGTTATTCCAGACTTTTTACCGGATTCACTACAATTTTTTGTCTAGTTTGTGGGTCCATGGGCTCCCCCTTTTTCAAAATCCTGGATCTGCATCTGAAAGTGTCTATGTAGAATTTCACTGAAATGGAATATACTGAATATTTCATATGATTATGAGGCTTCAACTATCTCTTTTAATGAAAATTTTTTACTAACACATGCACCTTTTCAAATCCTTAGTCACATGAAGAGTATTTACTGTAAAAAGAAGCCTCAGTTAAATACAAATACTTAAATTTTATGTTCTTACCTCTAATCAAAGATTGGGACCTACAAAAGTACATTTTGTATGACAAAAAGGACCATAAGGTTCAAGACCTGCATGGCCAAAAGCCTGAAATGTGCACATTTTGCCCTGCTCAGTACTATAGACCAATCTCAAATTGTTTTTTATGAATGAATCACACAAGTATACCCAAGGACAATCGGCATAATTGAACAATCAGTTCTTACTGTGACGTAATAAAATAAGCATTGTGAGGCCACCCCTAACAAATTCTTTGTTTGATGTTGCCTACCCATGCCTTGTAGGGTAGGGTAGGTAGGGATTTTATTTTATTTGCCAACAACATATATAAGTTACATGTTTTAGACAAGAAAACAAAGTTCGAGCATGAAAAAAACTTTAAAAAAAAAATGTGAAACGATTTGAGTCATAAAATTTTCAAGTTGGCTGCTATTAAGGTTGGTAGGTCATGTAGGTAGGCAACATCAAACAATTTCAATCTTATTTTTGGCCTGACATAGGAAATGTGCAGGAAAGTGCACTAATTTGAAAGTTGTCTATAAATGTCTATTAATGATAATGAAATACATGTACCTGTCGAACACATAAAGATATAACATGTTCAGCAACTTCTGGATATTTCTGTTTTAAGTCTTGAAGCAGTTGAACATTTAATCCAATTTCTGTTGTGGTCATCCTTCTACCATAATTACAATATATCTGAAAAATTTAAAGCTTATTGTTACATATGTACACAAAAACTTTGCAAACAATTACTCCTTATTAAGACCCGGTTCATCCAAGGGACATTGATTGTCGAAATGCACATGTATCTGGTGCAATAAAACTTAAAATCTGTTAATGTGTTTAAGTAATTCAAAAGCATGATTTAACTAGGCTAAGCCTAAAAATGTATTCAAAATGTGCTAAATCTCATAATTCAAACTCCTTTTTTTATCATTTGTTTATGCACATAACATGTACAGGGGCTCACACTACTTCAGAATCATAGGGAGCAGTGATTTCTCTTTATGAAACTGATAAGGAGAAGTGGTACCACTTAAAATAGAAGTGCCTGCTTGCTAACTGCACTTCAATGCTTGGTACATTGTATTTCCAATAATATAAAAGGCAAAATGTATCCTATTTTTTAATTCTTGTTCATATAGTTCAAATCATACCTGAGAATAGAATTAGAGTAACAGTTGTTTCAATTTATGTCTAAAATTGTCATTTATAGAACTTTACACAATTATATTTTTTTCTCTCGTCAGAAACTAACAACTTACATGACTTAATATCTTAAAGTACAGAAAGTTAAAGTAAATATTTCATAAAAACTAGTTTCTATGATGACTATGAAATAACATACAAACAATCTGTAAAGTCAATGATTTCACCTCTTTTCTAAAGAAATAAATTTACGTCTTTGAATTTCTTTTCTTACAAGGGTCATCACACCAGGCGAAGTGAGTGACTATGTCACTCTAGGATTCTCAACTTAGCTCTAAAGAAGCTCCAGGGAGAAGTTTATGTCACACTATTTTCAGTAAAATTCTCCAATGTTGCCTCATGATTTTTGAAAATTCTCCATCCAAACGCAAACGATTACGATATTTGACAACATAAACATGTTATCAACAAATTTGAATTGAATGGTCCCCAGTCTTTTACTCCAACATTAAAATAGCCAGATGGGTGCTGATTATAGAGAGCTACATGTACATGTATAAGCAAGAAACATGAGAATAAAATCAATTTTGAGATGTTTAGTTTTTTTTTTGACAAATTGTGTTTGCAGCTAATTCAGACCACAAGCATGAAAAGCAATGAAAAGACAAGGAAATACCACCTAAACAGTTGTCATGCAAAAGGCTTTGTAAAAAAAAAGTTAACGATGGTCGGAAAATTTATAATTTGATTCCCTTTCAGCCAATTAATGCCATCCTTCAATTCTCCCTGAAATCCATGTTTGGCTGAAAGAGAGAAGTCACTTTGACGGTCATGAGTTTCATGAAAATACAGTTAGTAGTCAGGTAGTATAGGAAGGGTTGTGGCTACAAGATGCCTAACACCAAAATGTTATTTGTTTAAATTGAAACTGGAGGTAACGATCATTAAACCTCCAAGAAACTGCAAAGCTATAACTTTTGTTTTAAACAGGTTGGGGAAGATCTATAACACTGAAAATTTATCCCCATTTTGGATTATAATACCAATAAATGAGGATAGTATCCATCTATGAGGATCCTCCCAAACCTGTTTAAAGTAAATAAACATCAAGAAGATTAATTCATTAAAAAGGTATGTTCAAAACACCAGGTACAATGTGCTGCATCATATAAACATGATTAATATCTATGACTGTATATAAGTTTCCAATTTCATTTGAATTTTTTTATATTGAATTGAAAAATTATGAATGTAAAAGGTAAACATGAACTTGGATGTTCCCTCTATGAATTACATGTACAGTAGTCAGAAACAATGTACAGGTTAATATGGTATGGGAAAGGTGGAAATCTTATTATTTACCTGTATAGCAGTAATTTGTTGTGTCCATACAATTTAGCATAGAAAAGATCAATGACTAATGGTATGTATGACAGTAAGATGGGAGATCATAATCATTATTGACCTATTTTGTAAACTCTCAACTGGGATTTCCCATTATGAATACAGGTACTACTGATTGATATTCATGACTCATATCCATGTTTAACAACATGTATGACATCACACCTGGATTCACTTCCATGTGGTTTGGTGTAAAGTCATCAAGAAACTCAATCAGTATTGGGTCACTGATAACAATATTTACAAACTATCAAATTCGTAAAATACATAAAATAATAAATGTAAATTATTGAATTGATTTCAATCTGACATAGAAACCAACATTAACACTAAAGATATGTAATATTCGTACCAACAGTATGCTGAATTTAAAAAAAAGATTTTCCTATAATATCAAACAGAGATAATGATAAACTGGTGATAGGTACAGGTCTTCCCTTAATGAAAAATAAAGATGTCAATTTTAGGGATGTAACCTTGACCCGCAAATAAGAAACTGATGTAAATCTTGTTTTAAATAGAATATGGTTTAGAAATATGAGGTGGGAATGTTGTAGCCGCTTGAGGTGCATGGAGATGGACAACATGACTGTCAACTTCGATCTACATAGTGACACAGAAATATAGAGAATGATTACAATGAAATATTTGGGAAGATGTGTCAAGTGATCACCTGAATTGTCACCTGAACGAACCGGATTCAATGATGGCATAACATACCAAGATAAAGGGAAGGATCGTTCTTCATAATCTCATTGAATTCTCCCAATGCACCAAGAAAATAACTGTATTTTGAACCTGAAATTAATTTTTGCAACGTTTCGGACTTCCTTTTTGAGAAATATTCTCTGTCATGGCCGATGATGCACATGCGCATCAGTACACAACTTATAGACTTCCGTGTTTATTGTTTTGTGGTTGTTTTATTGTCATTTTAGGGCTCAGTATTGCATGGAACAGATAAACAATAATCCAATGGAGGTAACGTCTATTCATTTTTGAAGTTTTGATAAAATAAATTTACCGTACTTTTATTGGTAAAAGTGATTTTATACTAAAGTGGAGATTTCTATTATTATATGACAACCATGGACTCGTAAAACATTTATTTTCATGGCTGGTCTTACACACAAATATTTGTCAATCGTTGATTTATTGAATTGGACTCTAATGTTATGTTTGACATACACCTCATTAAACGAACGTATTTTACAATTTCTTCTTATGTTGGTCTCCCGCAAGCCTGAGGGAAAAGCCTGGTTGAGCGCTCACAAACACGTTAAAACACAACCACATTCTTTGTTTTTCCGAAGTAAGGAGCATGTCATTCGGTGTTTGAGTTTTTGTCTGCAAGGTATGTTATTTTTTTACTGCATTTAGCAAAAATCAGTATGTTGTTCTCTTTTGAAATCATGGTTTGTAGTCAGTATATTCTGTCTCTTTGGAAATCATACCGTTAGTTTCCTTATTTTTATTTCAATCAATCTTCCTACAAGCAGTGTACTCGAATCTGCCAAGTAACATATCCGGAACAATAAAGAACCAAAAGGAACGTTGGCATTGATGCAAATCCGAATCTTGGAAAACAAAAACTTCAATTAAAAACGCATTAGGTATCAATCAATGTTATGTTCCATTCACTTTCACGGCTCTTTCGGATACTTAGGCGGAAACTCAGATGAAATTAAACAAAAGAAATGGATCTCTTTATTAGAGAAGGTTAAAAAGGCCAATTTGGCAAATTTGAATAGTTTATATCTGTTTCTATGGGCTTTAAAAGTCGATTGGGGTAGGTGCAAATACATGTGGATCTTTTTTTGTGCATAAGCATAAATTCCACCGAAAAAAATTCCAAAGAAAGATAATAGATTGATCTATTTAAAGCAATTATTTGCATCTCTACCCCCGGCGACAGTTTTTTTGAAAAAATCTATAAAACGGTAAATAATTTCATCGAAAAGAGTAAGTCGAGTACACCTTTTAATGTTCATGTGTGGTTGAGTTGACTATTCTGTCTTGAAAACATCTTAAAGAAAAATATTTGATACATCACCTCGCTTCAGATTCTATAATTTTTATAAATTTAGGCTACTGTATTGGTTGATATAATAACATTAAAATTTTAAAATACTTAAAAATGAAATGTATGGGTCAGGTGAAATACCTTTCTAATGAGTCATAACAGAATAGGTGTGTTCGAATAACAAATTTTTACTAAAAGTACTTGAAGACAGACTTTACAAGTGGATTTTAAAATGCATAACTTCATAAAACTTCATTTTGTGTGTGTGTGTTATCTAGGGTTGTTAGTCTTGCAACCTCTGAAAATTTTTAGTCTGCCCTTCCACGAAATATTTTATTAGATTTTTTTTAAATAGTTTTGAACTTTCGATAATTCCCCATAAAACAGATCAGACAATAGTTTTAAGTTGACCAAATGCATAAAAGTACATTGAATTATTCTCAATAGCTAGTAGATACATCAACAACACTTACCGTTATCTTGATGATATTAGTTCGTTAAATAATCAAGAATTTTCTAAATATACTGCCGAAATTAACCCAAGGAAATTACTTTAAATAAATCAAATATAAATGGTAATAACTGTCCTTTCCTAGATTTAGATATTTCAGTTTTACACGGGAAACTCAGGCTACACTAAAATTCACGACAACAGGGACGATTTCTCGTTCCCTATTGTTAATTTTCCTTTTTTGGACGGTGATATGTTCCTTTGGCACCATCTTACGGTGTTTATATACCACAACTCGTTCGCTATGCCTGTGGTTGTTGTGACGTTTTGGATTTTAATGAACGTAATCTATGTATTACTGGTAAATTATAAAGTCAGGGATTTCGTTACCACAAATTATTTAAAACCTTTACTAAATTCTTCCATAGATATACAGATTTGGTTTGGAAGTTTGGTTGTACCTGTAGAAATTTTATTTCAAACGGAATAGCACATCCTAATTTTTACGGAGATGTTGTTTACTGAGCCCAGAAATTTAGATACCTGGAAACGATCCGGGTAAACTTATCGATCATTTAAATTAACTTTTTCTAAAAGGTTACCAATTCAACACTATTAGATCTTTGAATATTGTTTACATTGGTATTAATATTGATTTTGTTATCAGTAAATTAAAATCAAACTATTTTTTTTTAAAACCATATGCACATTCATGGTTCTACAATCTGTCGATACCTGTATCTTGACATTGAACAAGGTCATGTTTTTCTCTGTTTATGACGTCTTTGCACTAAATCCATTGGATGTTGGATGCCAGTGTACTAATTGATATTTTAGTCTTAGATGCATGATTTTTTTTTATTAGTTATTGGCTTTGAACTAGCTGTCAGTAACTGCGAGTACTCTCAGATCTCTACTTAGTGTCTTTTTGCTTATGGGATGTATACGTACCCTGCCACGTTCACTCTGTGTTTTTGTTAGATGTATTTCTGCTTTGTATCGACCTGATGTGTTAAGCCCTTTTCAATTGATTTTTAAAGTTTGTTCTTATGTTTTACATGTACAGTGACACCACTGTCCCAGGTTAGGGGAGGGTTGGCGCGCCTTGAAACTAGTTTAACCCCGCCACATTCTGTATGTGCCTGTCCCAAGTCAGGAGCCTGTAATTCAGTGGTTGTCGTTTGTTGCTGTATATCATATTTGTTTTAGTTCATTATTTTGTACATAATTAAAGCCGTTAGTTTTCTCGTTTGAATTGATTTACATTTGTCATTTCGGGGTCTTTCATAGCTGACTATGCGGTATGGGTTTTACTCATTGTTGAAGCCGTACGGTGACCTATAGTTGTTAATTTCTGTGTCAATTGGTCTCTTGTGGAGAGTTATCTCATTGGCAATCATACCACATCTTCTTATTTTTACATTTGTCTTTTAAAATACAACTGGCATATAAGGATCGTAATGTTGCTATGTGGATAAATTGATCAGTTTTCAAGAGCTAAATTGACAGCGCGTCATCACTACAATGGCTTCCATTTTTACGATTATAAAAATTAGGTGGCGTAATTGGGAGATAATTTTGACGAAGTAGAATCCTGACTGATACTAATATATGTTCATGACGTTTAATGTCCATGCAGTGGTAAATATCTAATGTTAATGAGCCGTTGAGAAATGCAAATAAGGGCAGATTGGGTTTGGAAGTTATGCTGCTAGTGAATAAAAGCGAGAATGTTGGATATGAATATAGATTTAGCCATAGCTAAAATTACAACAGACCATATATAAGGACCCCTTAATGTTGTCTAATGCAATAGTTGTTTAACGTGAATGTTCCCATTCTGGCCGGGCATGGCTATATATATATATCAGTACTATCCACACAACCAAACGGACTTCGCTCTTTTGGAAGGTCTGGATGGAGGGTCCTTTATTTCTGTTTTCTTTAATCTGTAAGGTAATTTTTCTCTATATTCTTTATATTTTTTGCCCATTATTCTCTATTCTTTATATTTTAGCACCCCATTGTTCTCTATTCTATTTTTTGGTCCTATTTCTCTCTATTCTTAATTCAGAATAGAGAATAATGGATATTGTTGGAATATAAAAAAATCCAGAATAATGGACACAAAATGAAGAACAGAGAAAAAATGGCTTAAAAATAAAGAACCTTAATTGAGATACCCCATCCAGACCCTCTTACATGTTACACTAACCTAATGCAAACCTACTATCACACCTTTGGTTGTAGTCATCTTCATTTAAAGTTCAATAAGCTGGTTGGATGTAGTTGTATATCCGATGATATTTGTTTTTGTTTGATCGCGGTTTTGTACATACATCTCGTCTATTTTATACACTAGCTTGTGTCATTTCAGGGTCTTTTATAGCTTACTATGCGGTATGGATTTTGCTCATTGTTACGTAAGGTGACCTATTGTTGCTAACTTCTACGTCATTTGGTCTGTGGTGGAGAGTTGTCTCATTGACAATCATACCACATCTTCTTATCTTTATATAGATATAAGAAGATGTGGTATGAGTGCCAATGAGACAACCCTCCATCCAAGTCAAAATTTATAAAAGTAAACCATTATAGGTCAAAGTACGGTCTTCAACACGGAACCTTGGCTCACACCGAACAGTAGGCTATAACATGTATAAAGGGCCCCAAAAATTACTAGTGTAAAACCATTCAAACGGGAAAACCAACGGTCTATATAAAAAACGAGAAACACTTATGAACCACATCAACAAACGACAACCACTGAACATCAGATTCCTATTATATTTATAAGTGACAAGATCCAAAATGATATGCATCTACTATGCAATATAATATATTATGTTTCACAAACTATTATTTAGGTAAACATAACACAGGCACTTGTCTCTGAAAAAAATACCTATTACTTTATATATAGGTAAGTTTTTTCAGAGACAAGTGCCGTTGAAACGTAAGTATATACCAGAGAAAAAAAATCTTACTCGGTAATTATACAGCTGATAAAACAACTCAGTTTGTGACCACAAAAACAGAGTGAACAATCCAAATATGCAATCTTTATACCAATTTTACTTTCTGATTTAGACATAGACAACTTTATTTTGATTCAATCGGCAAAGCGTAAACATATCATGAAACATAAGCTCTGATAAACTTTTTACCGAATATAAAAACGTATATACAAAACAAATAAAACAAAGCTTCATGCACATATAAAACATACAACAGAATAAAGCCATGCACCAACCAAAACTTCACATTTCTAGCAATCTTATATAATTTTTTTTTAATCTGTTTCGAATTGTAAATAGAACTGTTTGAACAAAAAGAAACCATCAGCAGCTCATGTGGAAAGCGCCTCTATGCATGTCAACAGCGGTAAAAATTTAAAAGTTAAAAAAAATAAGTGCTAGATAACAAAGCAATTCATATAAGCTAAAAAGATTTAGTTAATGAATAAATATGGAAAGAAGTATAATGATAAACTAATTAAACAAACAAACAAAATTAGTTGCAGAGCTGACAATATAATAGCGAAGACTTAGAAATCAAATGCATGCAGAGCATCGACATTTCGAACCATTGTTAGACTGAATCAAGCTTTTGAATTGAGAAATAAAATTGAGAATGGAAATGGGGAATGTGTCAAAGAGACAACAACCCGACCATAGAACAGACAACAGCAGAAGGTCACCAACAGGTCTTCAATGCAGCGAGAAATTCCCACACCCGGAGGCGTCAACTGTTTACCGTCCTGAAATGGTCCGGAAGACTGTTCCACAGTGTAGTTGCAGCATATTTAAACGATTTTTATTAACATAAGTAGATATTTTTACAAGGGAAACATCTAAGACATGTATATCTAAAAGAGTATTTTGTAGATTTATTTTTAGAAGACTGTTCAGACATGAAGGAGCAATACTATTTAAAATCTTAAAAGTTTCTAGAGCCGTAGTCCTGATCATCTGCACACCAGAAGAGTTGACACCTTAGTCTTATCCACAAGTAGTAAATAAGTGGAGTTGTGGTCACCATACACAAACCGGAGTGCTCTTTTTTGCACTTTTTGTGTTATTTTTTTCAGTGCAAAAATGCCAAGCCAAACGGGAAAACTTAAAATTACTCATGATAAAAGTATGAAATATAGTGCGTTTATTTAATTTGGAAAGAAAAGGTCCAACACGTTTCAAAATATTAAGCTGCTGAGATGTCTTTCTACACAAATTATTAATATGTAAATCAAAATTTAACTGGTAGTCAATGTCTATGCCCAACAATTTTACCACAGTTTTGCAAGATTAATTAGAATTTTGGATATGTATCGATGGGCTCTCCTCAAAAGTCTTTTTGCCAACTGCTAACACCTCTGTCAGGTAATTTGTCAGGATAAGCTTGCATTTTATTAAATTTAAAACCAGGCAATCACTTGTTTGGATTCATCTTAATTCTAATGTAGATATCAGCTTGTCAAAATCAGGACTACAGAACGATAATACGTACGTTGTCATCTGCGTAGTTATACCGTGAATGAGCACTGCTTAATAAAATAAAACATATCGTTTATAATAATAAAAACGTTTAAAAAAGAGGTCCAATAATAGAACCCTGTGGCACACCTTTCTGGATATCAGTCTAACTACTTAGTTTGTTGCCAACTTTTCAATTTAAAGAAGCCTGGATAGCAATCTGAACAGTATAATAGTTTTTAATAATGAAATTGAAAAGTCATACACACCTTTGAATTAAAAACGTAGCATAAAGTAATAAGAAATGTATGTTTATGCGATTTCATTGAAATATTCAAAATACAAACAAACACAGTTTGAAATAAACCAAATTTACTTTTATCAATTTTTTAAATCAGCATACTTATTCCAAAGAATAATATTGAATTAACACTTTAGAGCAAATTGCAAAGAACAGTTGTCTCCCCTGTAACAAGCCCACCTTCGACGTCGAAGGGCAGAAGTTCTCATAAATATGAGTGCAATTTACAGGGGAATTGTATCAGTAGCAGACAAATTTGTCCCAGCCAAACTTGCCCCATTTTGGAATCATCCAGCTGGTATGAATGAGAAAAGTGTTTAAGCTTAAGGTCACAGGCACTTGTTTCTTTCAATGGGAAGGTCGACTATCTATGTATAATATATATATATATACATTGATAGTCGACCTACCATTGATAGGAACAAGTGCATATGTTTAAGGTTCATCCTAACCATCTGACTTTCTTTTTTGTGCCTTATATTGAATCCCTTTAGGGATTTCTTTATATTCTTCCTTCCAATTGTCAACTATCTTGAGTGCCATTGTTCTGTTTTGTTGTAATATTATTCCTCTTATATATCTTGTTGAGTATACAACATAAAAGTCCATTTATATTCTCTATTATATATGAACCAAAACACCATATAATCTTCCGAGGAAATAGCAATTAATAATGAAAGAGGAAATTTCCTAAAAGATAAATATTCAAAGATCCCTCTCTACCTCAGTTACAGAAAACCATCAATGTATTTCCAATAACTCAAAAGTTCTTTGAGCAGTTTTCATGAAACATTGGTGACTGGTTTATATCTATTAGAGTAACCTCCCTTTCGTTTTTTATAATTTTATGATACATGTATGACATTGAGTTATGGAACTTTATTCCTTGAAAAAGAGATGGGCGTATCATGCGCTCATTGTGCAGCCATTTATTTATAACTAATTTACACACTACCAGACTGTAAAATTTAACCAATTGAATAGTGCAGTTCCAGTCTCCGTTTACAATTTGAATGAAGCAAGTGTACATTATATCACAATGCCTGTAAAGCAAGTGCATATAAAACATATAAAAATATCTGTTTGCACTTCAAAATTAAGATGGAAGACACTGGCCAGCAAGAATTGTTTTACATCATCTATCTGTCACAGTGAGAATGTATCATTATAAATTACAAGGAATTTGTTGTGTGAACATTGCCTGGACTTTTGAAATTTGTTGAATGAGATTATAAACATAAAGCAGTAAAAAATTATTAACATACCGAACTCCAAGGTAAATTAAAAAAAAAGAGGTTAGTTCACAAAACCTGACAAAATCAAACACTTGACTATATATCCACCAATGGAAGGGACGTAAAACAACTGTCACATGACTTGGTACAGGAATGTATATACAGTTCATTTGTAGTAACTACAGTAACAACTATTTATAAAAATAAGGAGATGTTGTATGATTGCCAATGAGACAACTATCCACCAATGTTCAAATAAAGTGAATGTAAGTAATTATAGGCAACCGTACGGCCTTCAACAATGAGAAAAAACCATACTGTATATAAAAGGCCCTGACATGAAAAATATGAAACATTGAGATAACTAATTTAACATAGTTGACGGTGACAAAATTTTCATTTATTTTGAATGTATAGTTAAAATACAAAAATCATGTTTTTTTAGCCTTTGGTTAACATATAACCTCACTAATTTGAGAAATATATTTGAACAAGGAATTATTTGAATCTGGAATAATTTTGAATTCTGGAAAATTGATAACTATTGCATAAAAATTCTTGTCGATACAGGAAAGATTCTTTAATGATATAAATTAACCAAAAGAAATAAGAGGTACTGTAAAATTTGATTTAAAAGTGATTATTGATCATTGATCAATGTTTCTATGTGAAAACTTTCTATGTTTTCATTGAATACAAAAGAGAAAATTTGATATAATATCATAACAAAACAATAAAATTGCCAAACAGAAGCTGAAATCATATCACATGATTTGAAAAGTTTGGACACAGCACCTAGTAATTCATCCCTCCTCTGCACTGCAGACAGAAAACCTGCAGCACCTAGATATAGATAAACATGATAAAGTAAAATCCATTTAGTCTTTCTGAAAAATAAAATCTTTTTAGGGTTTTTGGGATTTTTTTTTTTTTTTTAAAGTCATCATAATAATTGGTACAGACAAACCTGTGCAGTTTAAACAGTCATGACAGTTTTAAGGTCTTGCATTACCTAGCTAGACATTTTGCTATACAAAAGTTAAATGAATTTTGTGTTTTAGAAATATAAAATCTTTTTTGAATTTTGAGATTCATTTTTTTTTCATTAATCCAGAAGATGGTTTGATAAACCAGCACCTGAAAAGTTTGAAATAATCACAAAAAAATACATCAGAGTTATTGCCCTTTGACAGATCTATAGAATATGTACATTGGTGGGTGACATTGGAAGATATGTTTTTTGGTCTGTTCGTCCATCTCATGATCTGTCCAGTATCTTGTAAAGTTCCAGGTTAAAGAATTCGGTTCTAAAAGGTCACATCAAGTTGAAACTTAATTTCACATGTTCATTATATTGTGAATTATTTAGATATATAGATATAAGAAGATGTGGTATGAGTGCCAATGAGACAACTCTCCACCCAAGTCAAAATTTATAAAAGTAAACCATTATAGGTCAAGGTACCGCCTTCAACACGGAGCATTGGCTCACACCAAACAGCAAGCTATAAAGGGCCCCAAAAAAATTACTAGTGAAAAACCATTTAAACGGAAGAACCAACGGTCTAATCTATATAAAAACGAGAAACGAGAAACACGTATGAACTACATAAACAGACGACAACTACTGTAATCAAATTCCTGACTTAGGACAGGTGCTAACATTTGCAGCGGGATTAAACGTTTTAATGGTACCAAACCTTCTCCCTTTTCTGAAACAATAGTATAACATCACAACATAGAAAAACACACTATAAAATATCAATTGGAAGGCTTAACTCAATCAAAAAACGTAAATTTACACACAATGAACGAATAAATTTGACCTGTGACACCTGAATGCAAATACACAGTTAATAAAAAATTACAAGGGATAAATAAATAAAGTCAAAAGTAAATAAACAGGTTTAAACAAAGTTAAAGTATGATATCACTGTGAAATTTCAAACAATTTGTAGAAAATCATCACTTTTGAAGAAACCTGCATCATATTTGTGGATTTGACTCTGGTTTCATAGACTTATAGTTCACTGAACATAGAAATATCATTTGGTAAAATAAGTACATTCTGAAGTTCAAGTTTTTATACGACCGCAAAAATTAAAAATTTTTTGGTCGTATATTGGTATGACGTTGGCGTCGTCGTCGTCGTCGTCGTCGTCCGGCGTCGTCCGGCGTCGTCCGAAGACACATTGGTTTTCGCACTCTAACTTTAGTTTAAGTGAATGGATCTCCATGAAATTTCACCATAAGGTTCAATACCACAAAAGGAAGGTTGGGATTGATTTTGGGGGTTATGGTACCAACAGTTAAGGAATTAGGGGCCAAAAAGGGGCCAAAAATAAGCATTTTTGTAACTTTCAGACAATAACTTGTGTGTAAGTGTATGGATCTCTCTGACATTGTACCACAAGGTTCCATATCACAAAGGGAAGGCTGTAATTGATTTTGGGGGTAATTGCCTCAACATTTTAGGAATTAGGGGCCAAAAAAGGGGCAAAAAACAAGCATTTTTCTAGTTTCATGACAATAACTTGTGTGTAAGTGTTTGGATATTTCTGAAATTGTACTTCAAGGTTCCATATCACAAAGGGAAAGCTGGAATTGAGTTTGGGGGTAATTGCCCAAAACGTTTAGGAATTGGGGGCCAAAAAGGGGCCAAAAATAAGCATTTTTCTAGTTTCCAGACAATAACTTGTGTTCAAGTGTATGGATCTCTCTGAAATTGTACTGCAAGGTACCATACCACAAAGGGAAGGCTGGGATTGAGTTTGGGGGTGATGAATCATAAGGGGGTTCAAAAAATTTGGGGGGGGATTTTTTTTTTTTTTTTTTTTCTTTTTTTCCTTTTTTTTTTCTTTTAAAATTTTCCATTTTAAGTTGGTTATTTCTGATTTATATTTAAAAGCAAATAATAATGATATGGTAGGAGATACACACCAAACAGGATGTGTAAATTATTATATAATAAGTATTGTGCAATAGCAAGAAATTTTCAATTGCACAGTATTGCACAATAGCAAGAAATCTTCAATTGCACAGTATTGCGCAATAGCAAGAAATCTTCAATTTAACAGTATTGCGCAATAGCAAGAAATATCCAATAGCACAATATTGCGCAATAGCAAGAAATTGTCATTTGTACAGTATTGCGCAATAGCAAGAAATATTCAATTGCACAGTATTGTGCAAAAGAAGATACTTCGTATAAATTGCTTATTTCTTGATCAATTTCAATGGGGTTTTATTCTTGAATTCTTGGGGTTCATTAATATGCTGAATCTAACCGTGTATTAAGTTTTTGGATTTTGGGCCCCGTTTTTAAATTGGTCCACATTGAGGTCCAAAGGGTCCAAAATTAAACTTTGTTTGATTTCATCAAAAATTGAATTATTGGGGTTCTTTGATATGCCGAATCTAACCGTGTATTTAGATTTTTAATTTTGGGTCCCGTTTTTTGAATTTGTCTACATTAAGGTCCAAAGGGTCCAAAATTAAACTTAGTTTGATTTTAACAAAAATTGAATTCTTAGGGTTCTTTGATATGCTGAATCTAAACATGTGTTTAGATTTTTGATTATGGGCCCAGTTTTCAAGTTGGTCCAAGTTGGGGTCCAAAATTAAACTTTGTTTGATTTCAACAAAAATTGAATATATGGGGTTCTTTGATATGCTGAATCTAAACATGTATTTAGATTTTAGATTTTTGGCCCAGTTTTCAAGTTGGTCCAAATTGGGGTCCAAAATTAAACTTTGTTTGATTTCAACAAAAAATGAATATATGGGGTTCTTTGATATGCTGAATCTTACCATGTATTTAGATTTTTTATTTGTGGGCCCGCTATCAAATTGGTTCATATTGAGGTCAAAAGGGTCCAAAATTAAACTTTGTTTGATTTCATCAAAAATTGAATTATTGGGGTTCTTTGATATGCCAAATCTAACCGTATATTTAGATTTTTAATTTTGGGTCCTGTTTTTTAAATTGGTCTACATTAAGGTCCAAAGGGTCCAAAATTAAACTTAGTTTGATTTTCACAAAAAATGAATTTTTGGGGTTCTTTGATATGCTGAATCTAAACATGTGTTTAGATTTTTGATTATGGGACCAGTTTTCAAGTTGGTCAAAGTTGGGGTCCAAAATTAAACTTTGTTTGATTTCAACAAAAATTGAATATATGGGGTTCTTTGATATGCTGAATCTAAACATGTATTTAGATTTTAGATTTTTGGCCCAGTTTTCAAGTTGGTCCAAATTGGGGTCCAAAATTAAACTTTGTTTGATTTCAACAAAAATTGAATATATGGGGTTCTTTGATATGCTGAATCTTACCATGTATTTAGATTTTTTATTTGTGGGCCCGCTATCAAATTGGTTCATATTGAGGTCAAAAGGGTCCAAAATTAAACTTTGTTTGATTTCATCAAAAATTGAATTATTGGGGTTCTTTGATATGCCAAATCTAACTGTGTTTTTAGATTTTTAATTTTGGGTCCCGTTTTTTAAATTTGTCTACATTAAGGTCCAAAGGGTCCAAAATTAAACTTAGTTTGATTTTAACAAAAATTGAATTCTTCGGGTACTTTGATATGCTGAATCTAAACATGTGTTTAGATTTTTGATTATGGGACCAGTTTTCAAGTTTGTCCAAGTTGGGGTCCAAAATTAAACTTTGTTTGATTTCAACAAAAATTGAATATATGGGGTTCTTTGATATGCTGAATCTAACCATGTATTTTGATTTGGACATTGAACCATAATAGGTAAATTAAAAAAATTGAAGTTCTTAGACCACATTCTTTCTGTGTCAGAAACCTATGCTGTGTCAAATATTTAATCACAATCCAAATTCAGAGCTGTATCAAGCTTGAATGTTGTGTCCATACTTGCCCCAACTGTTCAGGGTTCGACCTCTGCGGTCGTATCAAGCTGCGCCCAGCGAAGCATTTTATTTATGAAGGTAGTATACAATGAAGTTGTGGTCATATCAACTTTAAACTTTGTACACATGTTTATTATGAATTGAACTTTTAAAATTGTATGCTAAATTGAAATTACCCAAACTTCACAGTTCACTTAACATGGACATATGATAGTAAGAGCAGGGCATAATATTCTATGGAAACATATTCTTGTTTATCATATATATTCTTAATTCTACAATGTGTTCTAGATCCAACCACTCATAGAAATTTTTAATGATGTAAAATAATGATATTTGAAAGTACCTTCAACATGTCCAAAGACCCCAGATATCTTTTTCTGGAACTGTCTTGAATTTTTTCAGCTTTAATGATTTGCATATATTGTAGCATAAATGTATTATACATGCAAAATTTGTTCTTTCTTGTTATAACTACAACTACCATGCATAACTTTTTTCTTTTTCTTTTTTAGGTCCCAAGACTATATTTTTCTGGGCTCCGTCTTTTAAATGGGTAAGTTGACTGATCTATTATTTAGAAAATCAGATACAGATAAAAATAACCAAATACAAATTACAACACAGAGCCAAAAGGGTGTTTCAATCTGCAACTCAATAAAATAAATTTAGAGGGTATTTGCTTATTTGGCCCTGAAATTAAAAATTACTGTTCTGGAGTTATTCCCCTGTATTTATATAAGCTTTTGGGCTAGCCAAGAGAATATATGATACAGACATAAAGAAACCTTTCCAAATGCATGTATATACATGTACATGCCATATAATATGTAATGACTGAATGGCATTAGGCAATGAATTGCTTTTGGAGGTTTCTAATGTCTGGTGTAAAATAAAAAAATGCAATTAGGACTAAGAATAATTTCAGTAACAATACTATTTATAACCAGTCAGGGTATAACTCTATAGGGTTATTACAGAAAATATCTTGCATGTGTTATTACAGATACTTTCATGAGTTGTCTACTCTTTAATCCTTAAATTTTCTAAATCTGTAATAACATATGTTTGTTATTTGTAAAAAAATCCGTAAGGGTTCCACGGAACCCAGTGTCTCGCCTACTTTTGCTGTTAATCGCAGTCTCAACAAAAATGAGGAATATTTTTGGATATTATCTTATGATCATAAACAAGCTTCTGTCCAAGTTTGGTAGAAATCCAGGATAGTTTAAGAAAGTTATTAAAGTTTCAAAAACTTTAACCACAGAGTGAATATTTGTGGACGCCGCCAACGATGACAACGACGTCAAGGAAATGTAGGATCACTATGTCTCGCTTTTTCAACAAAAGTCGAAGGCTCCACAATAAATCATAAATATTTTAATTTTTAGTGGGCTCTAGGGAACTCTTGAAAGTTTGCGCAGAAACTAAATGCATAGCCTTGATAACTTACTTTGGAATTAAATTAATAGTAATACAATTTTCATCAACCATGGTAAGTCAATGAGACAAGGCTTTTAAGGGATAAACTTAGCTGTAATAACAAGGCTTAGTTATTAAAGGCATGTAACTTATTATATGAGACACTTGGGAATTACTGGGAAGCTTGCGCAGAACCTCATTACATGCTCTGATCATTATTTCTTAAAATGAATAAAAATACATTGTAATTAAGCATGATGTATGTCTTAGCAAATGCTTTGGAAAGTTGTAGAGAAGCTGTAATAACACCGTTTAGTTATTACAGGCATATTTTTTCTGTAATAACATAGGTGTACTATGCATGATTGGCAAACTATGAACTGTCATATCTTTCTATAGTCTGATAGTTAAGTAAACACAAAGACAATAGTAATATCAATAGAACTTGTATGCATTTTAACAAAACTAATGATGTATATTGTCCCCTTGAAACATGTAACATACATATGTTATCACAGTTCTCTGATTTTTTAGTCCACAATAACAAATGTATGTTATTTTTCTCTTATAACCCTATAGAGTTATATCCTTGACTGATAACAATATACTAAAGATTTACCCCAGGAATAGATTACCTAAGCTGTTATTGGAAAAAACTTTCAGAATTATGGGTCTTGAATGCTCTATAACTTTATACTTTATTTGGCCTTTTATCTTGTTTTATTCCAGTATAATCCCTGGTGAGTCTTTTCTAGACAGAACGTGCATCTGACATAGAAAGTTTGAAGCCTGGTATCTTTGATGAGTTTATTTATGCACACTAAAACAATTGTCTACTGAAGCTTGGTTTAAACAGATATCAGTTAAAATGGAGCTCGAGTTGTTTGAAAAATAAACTAAGTTATCTCTATCTTTTGATGTATAATTTTATAGGATTTAGTTATTGCTGGCATTGCAGACATTGCCCGCCCTGCTGAGAAACTTAGTGTATCTTTTGATGTATATTTTGCAGGGTTTAGTTATTGCTGGCATTGCAGACATTGCCTGCCCTGCTGAGAAACTTAGTGTATCTTTTGATGTATATTTTGCAGGGTTTAGTTATTGCTGGCATTGCAGACATTGCCCGCCCTGCTGAGAAACTTAGTGTATCTTTTGATGTATATTTTGCAGGGTTTAGTTATTGCTGGCATTGCAGACATTGCCCGCCCTGCTGAGAAACTTAGTGTATCTTTTGATGTATATTTTGCAGGGTTTAGTTATTGGTGGCATTGCAGACATTGCCCGCCCTGCTGAGAAACTTAGTGTATCTTTTGATGTATATTTTGCAGGGTTTAGTTATTGCTGGCATTGCAGATATTGCCCGCCCTGCTGAGAAACTTAGTGTATCTTTTGATGTATATTTTGCAGGGTTTAGTTATTGCTGGCATTGCAGACATTGCCCGCCCTGCTGAGAAACTTAGTGTATCTTTTGATGTATATTTTGCAGGGTTTAGTTATTGCTGGCATTGCAGACATTGCCCGCCCTGCTGAGAAACTTAGTGCGCCACAGTCAACAGCCTTAGCAGCAACAGGTAAAACATTATTTTAGGGTAACAGTCTCATTGTTGGTAAAGTGTGGATTACATGATAATAAGCAGATATAAGGTTTTTTTTTTTTAAGAACATCAATAGTTTTTCAAAGTGCTTTAAGAAAAATGAGAAAGCAAAGGAAAACAAAATTGAAAAGGCAGATAAATGTTGACAAATTCCAAGAAAATGGGTAATGATTTTTTTTTTTATCTTTGCTAGAATTATGGGACTTTCAACGTTTTTAGTACAATGAAACCATGTGGACACTACTGTTCTGAGACTTTGCCCAAAAGCTGTCATGCTTGGTAGAATTCTTTTTCATCAATTAAAATTGACATGACTATACTATTATATAAGATTTTGACCAATTTTGCAAGGGTAATGGGACTTGGACCATTTTTGTCCTGCTGATGAATAATCCCTTGCAAACATTATCTCTGTAAACTCAGAACACATTACTGCAATTTTTATTTAACAATGCTTGCATGAGTAACGGGACTTTGACCATTTTTTGGCTTTTTGAGACTTTTTGCCTGAAAGGTTTAATACTTAGAAGGATTTTTTTTTAAAAATGAAGCTCCCATACTTTGTGAGATTATCATCATGTGACGTTGACCTGGATGTTCTGGCATTTTGATTGGACAATTTTTGTGGTAGAAATATGTCTTTCACCGTTTTGTAGGATAAGAAAATTATGTTACCTCTTGTATTCTTCCTACTCTCTAGAATCATTTTACAGTGTGTCCTTTCTTAAATTGAAATATTAAATGAATATGCTTCAAAAATGAAAATTCTTCATATTTTGACAATAGAATAGTCAGATTATCATGATTATGGAAAGGAAAATTACCCATTGCCCACCTACAGTTATTCATCTTCATTAGTCCCTAAATTCTTAAAAGGAAAATGGAAATGGCAATTATATGGGCATTACAATGTATCACAAAAAAAACCTCAACTGAGTCTGCGATGATAATGTTGTGAACAAAAAAAAAGGGCTAATCAATAAATGTATGAAGGTGATTAGTTTATAAAATGTTATTAAAACTAAATTCAAACTTGCAGACATTATTTCTCTACATTAACTTATTTGAGTTTTATATTTCACACAATTTTTAAGGTAGATTAAGTGTATACCGCCATCTTGGATTGTAAAATAGCAGTACACAATCGGTCTAGTTCTTTGGTTAAATCTGCAAATTTTGAGACAGATTGGCTGTGTAAGACTGTTTATTTGAATCTAGTAAACTAAGTGATTTATTGCATTAATTATTCTGTTTTAACAAATATCTGTATTTGTGTTTGTTCGAATCAATTTTTCAACTTGGCCATTTAAGGGAAGATAACCCTAATAGTAAATTTTTTTTGTAAAGGAATGATAAAGAAATTTTTCCTTGCCAAGTTGAACAATATTTTTGTTAAAGGTTTTCTTTGGGCAAGATGGTCTTTGGTGATAATTCCTTTAGATTGATTACACTTTGTGTTAAACCCTGACAGCTAGAACAATATTTTAATAAAGGTTTTCTCTTGGCAAGATGGCCATTGATAATTGTTCTTACAATTTACAAGATTTTGGTGTTAAATCCTGCCAGTTTGAACAATAATTTTATTAAAGGTTTTATTTGGGCAAGATGGTCATTGATATAATTCTTCTTGTATAAAACCCTGGCTGTTTGAATAATATTTTTATTAAAGGTTTTATTTGGGCAAGATGGTCATTGATATAATTCTTCTTGTATAAAACCCTGGCTGTTTGAACAATATTTTATTAAAGGTTTTATTTGGGCAAGATGTCCAGTCATTAATATAATTCTTCTTGTATAAAACCCTGGCTGTTTGAACAATATTTTTATTAAAGGTTTTATTTGGGCAAGATGGTCATTGATAATTATTCCACGAATATGGCCTTACTTTGTGTGTAACATATTTGTTGGGTGTACTGGACTGTTTCAGATGGCCAGAATTTTCAAGTAAGTCTTGTATAATTGTGAATATTATGCCTTGTTGCAGGAGCACAGCATAAATAACCAGATATCATTAAACTTATCTAATCCAAACAGCTCTGCTTGACAAACAAAACATAGAAATAGGTATAATGTTCTAATTAAAGTTACTAATCAGAATATAATTTTTTTTTGGTTCTTACCCTCAATGGAGGATAATGTTTTTCCATTGGTTGAATATTTATTAAATTGAAAATCATGAGCTAATCAAAGCATTTTGTTAAATAATACCCATTATGCTTAAGATTTGGAAAAAAATGAATGATTCAGAAAATACTGTATTGACTTTAGCATGTTTAGGGAGCTACCATTTGATTTTTATGGGGGGCTAGGATGAAATTTGAAAAAAATAGGCAGGACAGGAGTTTTGAGTAAAAAAAAGGCAGGATGAGACACTTGCAGGATGACAATTTAGGTAAAAAAAAGTTTGGATAAACTTTAAAAAAAAAAGGCAGGACCGAATAGAGTGAAAAATAAAAAGGCAGGACAGAGATTACAGTTAAAAAAAATGCAGGACAAAATTTTTCATCCTAGCCCCCCCATAAAAATCAAATGGTAGCTCCCTTATAAGCATGTCCCTTATATACCTGTTTTTGAAATAGGGATTTTCTAGAATTCTGTCATGTTGAGCAATAATAAGTAAAATAACAAAAATACCGAACTCCAAGGAAAATTCAAAACGGATAATCCTTTATCAAATGGCAAAATCAAAAACGCAAACACATGAAACGAATGGAAAATAACTGTCATATTCAATAATTTTATTGTTATTTAAGGTTTTATATGGGCACGATGGTGTTTGATTATAACACCACGAATATGGGCACTCAGTCTGTGCAATGTATTTGTTGGTTGTACCGGATTCGTTCAGTTGTATAGAATTCATAAGTAAGTCTTACTGCGCCATGCTTCTTTGCACTAGAACCACATATATAACCAGACACGAAAAGTTTGTCTAATCCAAACGGACATTGTTTAAAATCATTTAATAGATACCCATCCTTTTGTGTAGAATGGGGATGCCATAATATTAGTTTTATCTTGATTTTAGAAAGGCAATATATATTGAACAAGGGAGAATTGACTCTCTTTATAAAATAGCTACTGACTAGACAAGTTTTTTGGAAAAGGTTAATAATTGTTTCTTGACGTTTCATCCTTTTTGAATATATGAAAAATTGTTGGCTTTAATTCTGAAATGTTTCCTATTGGTTGGTCGCAAATTTTGCCAATGATGTACTATTTTCTTTTTTCATTGACACTAAAAAAACATAAAAAAATTCTTATTTTTTGGGGCATGCATCTTAATTCATCCCTGTCTTAATCTGCCCTTTGAAGATTAAGCTAGTTTTTCCCGTCCATCAGGTGGTTTAAAGGTTTTCAAAATAACAGTATTAAGGATATTCACTGCTCTGTTTCAAAATAACAAGCTTTTTAAAAGTCTGTTATAAATTGATAGTATATAAATAATGGAACTTAAAAAAACAGAAAAAAATGAAGGGTCTGTGTCCTTGTTTTCAAGATATAAGCCATTGAAAATTTGGTGGGAAATGATTCTCTCTAGATTTTTTTACATTGAACATTGGCACCCTGTTTTCTTTCAAAAACTATGAAAAATAACAAGAACTTTTTAAGATTTTCAAAAATGATTTTTAAAACTATATGTAATAAAATTATGGAAAAAAAGTAGGGATTACAAAAACTAGATGAGCAAACATACATACATGTTACTTTGAAAATGATGTTACTATCCATAGAGGTAATTTTAGGATTTCTTTCACTATAGAATGATACCAATCCATAGATGATATTTGGAAATGCATACCCTGTATACTTTTTTGGTTGGGAAATATGTCTACATTTTTCATATAAATGTATGATACAAAATATTGTTTAATATATGAAAAATATATGAGAAATAAGAAGAATTTTAAAATATTGTACCTGAAGCGAATTTGAGATGTAAGTTTTCAAAATTTTTGATAAATTTATTGGTTTCTGGGCAAATTTTTATACGACTGCAAAAAAATTTTGCGGTCGTATATTGGTATGACGTTGGCGTCGTCGGCGTCGCTGTTGTCAGCCGGCTGGTTTTCGCACTCTAACTTTAGTTTAAGTGAGTGGATCTCTATGAAATTTTACCATAAGGTTCAATACCACAAAAGGAAGGTGGGGATTGATTTTGGGGGTTATGGTACCAACAGTAAAGGAATTAGGGGCCAAAAATAAGCATTTTTGTAACTTCCAGACATAACTTGTGTGTTAGTGTATGGATCTCTCTGACATTGTACCACAAGGTTTCATATCACAAAGGGAATGCTGGGATTGATTTTGGGGGTAATTGCCTCCAAATTTTAGGAATTAGGGGCCAAAAAGGGGCAAAAAACAAGCATTTTTCTGGTTTCATGACAATAACTTGTGTGTTAGTGTATGGATCTCTCTGACATTGTACCACAAGGTTCCATATCTCAAAGGGAATGCTGGGATTGATTTTGGGGGTAATTGCCTCCAAATTTTAGGAATTAGGGGCCACAAAGGGGCAAAAAACAAGCATTTTTCTGGTTTCATGACAATAACTTGTGTGTAAGTGTATGCATCTTTATGAAATTGTACTACAAGGTTCCATATCACAAAGGGAAAGCTGGAATTGAGTTTGGGGGTAATTGCCCAAAACTGTTTAGGAATAAGGGGCCAAAAATAAGCATTTTTCTTGTTTCCAGACAATTACTTGTGTTCAAGTGTATGGATCTCTCTGAAATTGTACTGCAAGGTACCATACCACAAAGTGAAGGCTAGGATTGATTTTGGGGGTAATTGCCTCAAAATATTGAAATTAGGGGCCATAAAGGGGCAAAAAAAACCAAGCATTTTTTCAGCTTCAGGACAATAACTTGTGTGTAAGTGTATGGATCTTTGTGAAATTGTACTACAAGGTTCCATATCACAAAGGGAAAGCTGGGTTTGAGTTTGGGGGTAATTGCCCTAAACGTTTAGGAATTTGGGGCCGAAAATGGGAAAAAAAACAAGCATTTTTCTAGTTTCCAGACAATAACTTGTGTTCAAGTGTATTGATCTCTCTGAAATTGTACTGCAAGGTACCATACCACAAAGGGAAGGCTGGGATTGAGTTTGGGGGTGATGAATCATTAGGGGGTTCCAAAAATTTGGGGGGGGATTTTTTTTTCCTTTTTTTCTTTAAAATTTTCCATTTTAAATTGGTTATTTCTTATTTATATATAAAAGCAAATAATAATGATATGGTTTGAATAGGTAAATTGAATTTTTTTAAGTTCTTAGACCACATTCATTCTGTGTCAGAAACCTATGCTGTGTCAAATATTTAATTACAATCCAAATTCAGTGCTGTATCAAGCTTGAATGTTGTGTCCATACTTGCCCCAACTGTTCAGGGTTTGACCTCTGCGGTCGTATCAAGCTGCGCCCCAGCAGAGCATTTTATTTTAATTAAAATTGAGAATGGAATTGAATGTTTTAGGAAAATGAAAGGGTTAAAAATATTAAGCTTACATGTAAGATGAAAACATGAATAAAAAACTGGATATAAAAAAATCTATCAATGATTGAAGAATATTAGAAATGTTCGGTAATTGTACCTCACATCAAATTCCTAATATTAAATTAATTTGGATCTTGTCTTTTTGATAAGTTCTGCCTTTTTACTAGTGCTTAATGAGTAAAAATAAAAATAAAAATTAATCATCTATTTAAGCCTTGCAAAATAACAATTTTATTCATGCCTTCAAATAAGTAGACCATACTAGTTTTTGTCTCGTCGCAGTATTTTGTCACAGTATGCAAGACATAGGTATTACTATCCGGTGGCAGCGTAAACTATTTGTATAAAACTTTATATTTCAGAAGGTAGAAGACCTGGATGCTTCATACCTTGTATGCAGATACCTTATGTTACGAAGTTTCCGTCAGTCATATGCCCATTGTTCTTGACCTCATTTTCATGGTTCAGTGACTGCTTGAAAAAAAATTAGTTTTTTTGTCATGTGAATTTCTCACTTATTATGAGTAATAGGATAACTATATTTGGTATATGGGTTCCTTGCAACGTCTACAAGTCCATCGGACAGGGTTAACCTGACCTCGACCTCAATTCATAGATCAGTGATCAAGGTTAAAGTTACGTGATTAGGTCCATTTCTCATTAACTACCAGCAGGTCAACTATATGTGGTGTATGGAATGATTTTATGGGGTACATGTCAGACTGGCAGGTTTCATCTGTCCTTGACCTCATTTTCATGGTTCATTGGTCATTGTTAATTTTGTGTTTTGGTCTGTTTTTCAAGTGCTGTAAGCAACAGGTCAAATAGATTTGGTGTATGGAATGATTGCAATGTGTACATGTCTGTCTAGCTGGTGTCATCTGACCTTGACCTCATTTTAATGGTTCATTGGTCAAAGTAAAGTTTTTTTGTTTTGGTCTGTTTTTCAAGTACTATAAGCAATCTGTCAACTATATTTGGTTTATGATATGATTGTAAGGTGTACATGTCTGTCTAGCCAGTGTCATCTGACCTTGACCTCATTTTCATGGTTCATTGGTCAATGTTAAGTTTTTGTGTTTTGGTCTGTTTTTCAAATACTAATAGCAATAGGTCAACTTTAATTGGTGTATGGAATGATTGTAAGGTGTACATGTCTGTCTAGCCAGTATCATCTGATCTTGACCTCATTTCCATGGTTCATTGGTAAACATTAAGTTTTTGTGTTTTGGTCTGTTATCATAAGCAATGGGTCAACTATATTTGGTGTATGAAATAATTGTAAGGTGTACATGTCTGTTTGACAGTTTTTATCTGACCTTGACCTCATTGTCATGGATCTTTAAAAATGTTAAGTTTATGTGATACTTGTAGTGAAACCTTTATCTTTAAGACTTTCAACATAAAATTAATGGTCAGTAAAACAGGCAAGACATTTCAGCGTGTGCACTGTTGTATTTATTTATCATCCCACACCTCCCCCTCTTTTTATATCAAACACTTGTATTTCTGAACCATTGACTTCAGTAATGAACAAGGCTTTACAGTGATTGTTTACATGGTAAGCATACAGCTTGTTGTTGGATTAGATAAGGTTTAGAGGCTAGTCATTTCAGAATGAAGAAGTCACCAGGACTAATGAACCATTTCAGAATGAAGAAGTCACCAGGACTAATGCATCATTTCAATTTTATTTCTACAGGTATCATATGGGCCCGTTACTCAACGGTTGTTATACCTAAGAACTGGAATCTCTTCACAGTAAATATATTTGTAGGGGCCACAGGCCTCTATCAGATATCTAGAATCGTCAAGTAAGTTAAGGAATACACTGAATACAATCTGATAAAATACTGATTCTTTATCCATACTTTGCTAACAAGGATATGAGAATGCTCCATTCTACTTTCTGTTTGAAAGACCTTTTGGGATTCTCTGGTTTTGTCCTAATAACAAACACCTTGAAATATTTGAAGGTAGGAAATTCATTGGCTTATGTAATAATTACCAGAATGGAATGTAGAACAGAGCGTTGTCCTAACCTTGTAAGAGAAGCATGGACACATGATCTTTATTTTAATCAGATTGCACTGCGTATAACATGTCCATCAGAGTTTTGAAACTCATCTTCATATATCAATCTTTTCAATTTTTTTTTTATTGTATAACAGCATATCATTTAATGATAGATACATCTTTACGTAACGGGGGTCAAAATCAGTGATTTTTCTAGTGTTCGTCATTTATGTCAATTACGAAACGGTTTTCAAAATGATAAAAGTTTTTCAATTTAATTTCGTCACTTAAAAATTTTGCTCAACAGTGACTTAAGCCTTTAAAAACCCTGGTCAAGGTATAGTCCTCTTTTTTTTGCCTGTTTTTTTACAGAGGTTAGTTGATATTAATCAGCATATGAAAAATCTTTGGTTATGAAGTTTAAGTCTGGATTTTATTTCAGACTTTATAAAAATACAAAAATATTCTGAATTTCTAAAAATCAGTTAATTTGTCTGAAAAACACAGCCTCTGCAGTCAAGTTTAGGGAATATGTCCCATACTATAAACTACAACTTAGGAAAATAAAGACACTTATCAATTACTAACTTTAAGTAGAATTCATAGCCAGTGCTCTAAGTTTCCTAGGCCTTAATTTTGTTCAAATCCGGATGGTTTTTTTTCAAATTTCTCCCAAAAAATCTATATATTTTTGGCTTATTTATGATGTAAAAATCAATGCTTTGAAATAAAACTGGACAAAAAAGTTCTTTTAAACTTTCTAACATGTCTGTTTGTCAACTTAAAACTTTTTTTATCTTGAAACATTGAACTTACTGTAATAATAGTCGGCAAATATGGCCATTTCCAAACTTACTCCTTTATGTAATATTTTAATTTTTCCAAAATATAGGGCATGATTAGAACTTACATTTTTTGCTATTTAGATTGTAATTTATTTATAAGCTACATTTTCTGATCTAGCATATTCTTAATCTCAAATTATCTCTTATTTTCCTCTATTGATTTAAAATTGTATTCATTGATGCACCAAATCATTTCTGAATTTACAATTTTTTTTTTCTAAAATGAATTGATTTAAAGACTCTACTTGGATATGTTGTATACTATTTTGTTTTATTTTAGCTTTGAATATTTACAGATTGCTTCATACTGTTTTCATTTAAAAAGCTTGCACACCTTTTGCTTGAAGTATTAATAAGGAATGTGAAATGGCTTAATGTTTTGCTACTAACAGTGATTTTCAGGTAGAGGTGATGGCTAATTTTTTACTGACCTTGATATTGCACAGATTTAGACTGTTAGCACAAAGATGGTTGATGATTTTTTAATGCCACTAATTGAAGGTTTTCAAGATCTGTTATGTTCAGTTCAATAATGTTACTATGAACAATCAAAGTTGTAAGGTAATTCAGAGAAAAAAACTTTCTATCATTTAATTTTGTAATTACATCTTTTTTTTGTGTAATAAAATGAATGTATACCATAGTCAATTATTTATTACATAACTACTACACAACCTACAGAGGTATTAGAAACTAACAAATTGTGTATTGTATGTATTGTGTAGTGATTTCAGCATAATCAACCTTTTTTCCATGAATTAAAGAAAATCAAAACAGTGAATAAAATAGATTTAGTTTACAGACATGTTAATGTATCTTGTTCTGTTATCAACATGACACAATTTTTCAAAATCAGACTTATTGTAGTAGAAATAAATAATCTGGAACATATTAAAAGAGTATTTGTCCTTAGGAGATATTCATTTTGTTTACTTATCTATTTTTTGTGGGGAGAAGATATTCATTTTTATACGACCGCAAACAAATTTTTGTGGTCGTATATTGGTATGACGTCGGCGTCGTCGTCGTCCGAAGACACATTAGTTTTCGCACTCTAACTTTAGTTTAAGTTAATGGATCTCAATGAAATTTTACCATAAGGTTCAAGACCACAAAAGGAAGGTGGGGATTGATTTTGGGGGTTATGGTACCAACAGTTAAGGAATTAGGGGCCAAAAAGGGGCCAAATATAAGCATTTTTGTAATTCCCTCAAAATTTTAGGAATTAGGGGCCATAAAAGGGCAAAAAAACAAGCATTTTTCTAGTTTCCAGACAATAACTTGTGTGTAAGTGTATGGATCTTTATGAAATTGTACTGCAAGGTTCCATATCACAAAGGGAAAGTTGGGTTTGAGTTTGGGGGTAATTGCCCTAAACGTTTAGGAATTTGGGGCCAAAAAGGGGCCAAAAAACAAGCATTTTTCTAGTTTCCAGACAATAACTTGTGTTCAAGTGTATGGATCTCTCTGAAATTGTACTGCAAGGTACCATACCACAAAGGGAAGGCTGGGATTGAGTTTGGGGGTGATGAATCATAAGGGGGTTCAATTAATTTTTTTGGGGGGGGGGGATTTTTTTTTCATTTTTTTTCTTTAAAATTTACCATTTTAAATTGGTTATTTTTCTTATTTATATATAAAAGCAAATAATAATGATATGGTTTGAATAGGTAAATTAAAAATTTTTAAGTTCTTAGACCACTTTCATTCTGTGTCAGAAACCTATGCTGTGTCAAATATTTAATTACAATCCAAATTCAGTGCTGTATCAAGCTTGAATGTTGTGTCCATACTTGCCCCAACTGTTCAGGGTTCGACCTCTGCGGTCGTATCAAGCTGCGCCCCAGCGGAGCATTTTATATTTATTCATTTGTTTTTTGAAGGGAGGGGTAATGATTGTACAGTACTGTGATTCTGTTATTGTAAAGGAGTCTTTATATATTATGATAAATGATTGTTTAACATCCAGTGTCAACTGTCAAGTTAAATGCGAAGCTGTGGTAAATATGAAATATTATAATCCTTGCTAAGTAAAGACCAACATGCTGAGCAGGATTATTATTTTTTTATTAGAATGTTTTGATAATTACTAATTGTTTTACATATATTTCAGCCATAGAAGATCATTAGCAGCACAAGCAGCAGAAGTAGAAAAATGATGAACTGAAGATGTAATAGCAAATGTGATTTTCTGACTGTGTTTGTGTGATAGAGAGAATAATATTTTTACTGGGTTATTTCCCTTGGCAAAGTGTAACAAGTGATCTCCCTTGTCAATGTCACCATGTCTTTACTTCAACTTGTTCAGAAACGAGAGGAAAGATGATCCTAACTGAGTTATTTCCCTTAGTAAAGTGTAAATGAATTATCTCCCTTGTCAAATCTCTGAAATCAATTTTATCTTCAATTGAAAGCAAGGTTTTCTTTAAAAAAAAATCCCTGCTTTGATGTAACTTCTCACTCTTTTACAACTCATTATTTTTAAACTTGCAAATCAAAAATTCACATAATTAGATTTTAAATCTTGTTTTTATTTCTACATTTAAGAGTAAAGCTGTACATTGAAGAAATATTTTAAGTTTATATGAAGGTTTATTTGGATGTTATGTTTGCGTTTGTGTGCATGGTTTTTATGTTTCAACACCGGTAATTTCCAATTCACCAGATATTGCTGTTTACACATGTCATAAAGCCTTTAATTTTATTTGGGTTTACTGTTTCATCAACGGACATAGCACAGGATTTCAGTTTATTGTACTAGATACTAGTGTGGTGTACTGTGAATTGTGACATCATCTCCTTTATAATTCTGCCATCATATGAAATTCTATGAAATTCTATCACATTACAAACTTAATGATCCATTTAGTGTAATTAATTTATCTCCTGTTGACAGCAATATATGGTGTATAAAGATATTTTTAGACTAAGCAAGCTCAGAGTTTCATATCAGCAGAACTGTTAAATACATTATGTTATATATTAATCAGTTTTTTTATTGTATAGTTAAATACTAAATAAAAAAGACAAGTTTTCTTATCGTTGTTGATAACTTAGTTTTTTTTGTACAAAATGTAAAAATACTTGCCTGCAAAGTTGCAAGATACAAACATTTATTGGTATTACAGATAATAAACATGGTCATAAAATGTTTCGGTTTTAAGATGCAACAAAAAGAACATGCGATACACCATTAGAATATCAGTATTCAATTCCATTATATTTTATTCTTATCAGTACACATAATTTGTTAATATTTCTAAGAGGGAAATTGTGGTATACATCAATGAGACTGCAACTCAACAACACGAACAAAAGACAAGAGGAGGTCATCAAATATTTTCAGCAAACATCTACATCATCTAAATCATCCTAAGTAAAGATAATAATGAATTGGTGTTTAACATCCAGTGGCAAATATTAAATGTATTTCAGGACAAGAATATGTTTTAAAATACTAGATACATTATTCTGACCAGGTGCTGACCAGTCTTTTCTCTTACTCCTAAATACTGGATGCTTAGAGGAGAAGCAGCAAATACAAATTTTCAAGTGTTTGGCTTGACCTGTCTTGAGGATCAAACCCATGACCCACTCCACAAGACCATCAAGACCACTTTTGTAGTATAGGCCAGGAGTTTAGGATCTTGTTCAATGACTTTTCCTGAAAATAGATGTTATTAATTATTAATATAACTACATTCGTGGTAGAGAAAATTTTCAGACAAATATGAAAGTACTAAGTTGTCTTTTTAAGTCGAAGGATATTCCTTCAAAATAATGGAAAAAATTAGGGTATCTAGTTAACAAATGCATCCGATGCACCCCGCCCATCAACCAAGATGGCCAAGCATGGCTAAAAATATAACATGGGTGTAAAATGCAGTTTTTGGCTTATATCTCTGAAACTAAAGCATTTAGAGCAATCTGACATGAGGTAAAAATGTTCATCAGGTAAAGATATATCTGCCTGAAAATTTAGCACGCATCAGACAACCTGTTGTTGGGTTGCTGCCCCTGAATTGGTAACTTTAAGGAAATTTTGCAGTTTTTGGTTATTATCTTGAATATTATAATAGAAAGAGATAAACTGTAAACAGCAAAATTGTTCAGCAAAGTAAGATCTACAAATAAGTTAAATGACCAAAATTGTCAATTGACAGAGAAGATTTGTCATAAGGAGTTATTGCCCTTTACAATCAATTTTTCGTAAATTTTTGTCTTCTCTGAAACCACACACCAGGGCCAAGTTTAGTTTAACTTGGCCTAAATCATTCTTAGGGTATCTTGTTTAAAAAATGTATCCTAGGACCCAGCCCATCAACCAAGATGGCCGTCATGGCTAAAATAGAACATAGGAGTTTACTATAGAAGTCTAAGGGAAAATTGTAAAAAAGCAATGTCAAATGGACACAGCTTGAAAACTAATTGAAATAATAATTAGGGGTCTTCACTAACTATTGTAAGATTATAATGGGAAGGATGACCTGCTTTTGATTTAACTACTGGGCCAAATTAAACCAAACTTGGTCTCAATCGTTATTGGGGTATCTAATACTATTTATTATGATTTTAACCTTATTTTACATGACTTCCAAAACCACAGTAGATACAGGTGAGCGGCACAGGCTCTTCAGAGCCTCTAGTTAGTTGTACTGTTACACCACTGTCCCAGGTGAGGGGAGGCATCATCAAACATGTCTAACCCCACCACATTCTGTATTTGTGAAGCAGAATTACATTATATGACTCATTGATATACATTGTATGTACACAGTTGCAACATGGTGGCTGTTAGTAGTAAGTCAGTAACTGCTGTCGGGAGCAGCGCTTTCAAAACTCAATTGTAGTGCTAGCATCTTTTCATTCTTCGTAGGAACTCCTGCATGAAGTCAGTCTCTTATGAATAAAGGAACAGGTCAGCAAGAAGAGTTGGTTCCCATGCGGGAAACAAATATGTTGTCAATCAAGATTCTTGTATAATGTCAAAGATTTATTGTTTGAATCCGAGTGGTTTTTTATACGACGGCAAAAAATTTTGCGGTCGTATATTGGTATCACGTCGTCGTCGTCCCAAGACATTTGGTTTCCGGACAATAACTTTAGTATAAGTAAAAAGAAATCTATGACATTTATACACAAGGTTTATAACCACAAAAGGAACGTTGGGATTGATTTTGGGGGTTATGGTCCTAACAGTTTAGGAATTAGGGGCCATAAAAGGGACCAAATAAGCATTTTTCTAATTTACAAACAATAACTTGTGGAACGGTGTATGAATCTCTCTGAAATTATACCACAAGTTTCCTTACCACAAAGGGATGGTTAGGATTGACTTTGGGGGTTATGGCTCAAACCGTTTAGGAATTACGGGCAAAAAAGGGGGAAAAACAAGGGTTTCCTGGTTAATGGACAATTTAAAAACAGTGTAAGGGAGGTAATCCAAACACATTTAAAGAACAATGTTGTGAATGTTTGGATTTAGGTCCCTATCACTGCTTTTAAATAATGTATATAGAAATCTTGTATTGTCTTGAGGTGATTAGCTGTCAATTTATTGTTATAAGTTACTATTAAAGGAATATTAATTTTAGCCATGATTATGTATGTCTTTATTTATTTTAGACTTTTATGATTATATTAAATTGGTAATTATGGTTGCAAACTCCATTGGAAATTTGAATTGAGATAATGACCATATCTTGAGGGAAATAATTTTTTTTTTGGAAAAGGTGGGGTGGGGGTGTTAAAAAGAAATTGTGGGGGAGGGCAATTTTTTCTCATTTCAGATTTCAGAAATTAAAAAGGAATTTCTTCCAACTAATTTCTTTCCATTTCTTCCAACAATTATTTTTTTGCAAAAAAAGGGGGGGGGGGTAAAAAAAAAATCGTGGAGCTAGGACAGGTACTAAGCACCATTTCATTTGTATTTAAAGATGCAGCATGAGTATTCATAGAACACTTCAGTTTTTTTCTCATTCTAATTGGTATCAACGACCTCATGGTCTGAGCCTATTTAGAAGGAGTTTCAGGCTACGCCTTCTTTTTCTCGTGAGTCGATTGCCTGACATTCGACATCAATATTTTGAAGTTGTGACTTCTATTGATGGAGCTAGGCTCATGCTATTATGGGCCTTTGGACCACACATTTAGCTGTGAAATATTATTAACAATATTCAGGTCACCAGGAATAACGTGGCCAGCTGGAAAATCTGGACTGGGAACTAGCACAGGTATAAAAAAAGGCGCTTTTAAAAAAGCTGGCACTAATAGATAAATTCAATTAAATAATCTCAGTTAAAAATAATAAAACTTGTAATCTGTTATTTTTATACGCCCGTTTACGGGACGTATTATAGTATACCGTTGCCCGTCAGTCGTCAACATGTACAATTACTCAAAAACATTTTGATTCAATTTTAGATTTTACGTTTCCGAGTTATGGGGTTTAATTCATTAACACGGGGATTTTTCAGTTTTCGGACGATAACTCAAAAATATTTTAAGCACTTTTCATGAAACTTTGATGAATTGTTTATATATATTGACGTGAGCTCTCTTTCGATTTTTATAAATCTAAGATTTATGTTTCCGAGTTATGTGGTTTTATTCATTAAAAAAGAGTGGATTCTCCTGTTTTCGGACAATAACTAAAAAGTGCTTTGAGCAGTTTTCATAAAACTTTGGTGACTTATTCACAATTAGAATAACCTCCCTTTAGTTTTCTTATAAATGTCTGATATGACATTGAGAAATTATGGAACGTCTTTTAAAATGGGACGGGCGTGTCATGCGCTCATGGCGCAGCTGTTTATTATTTTTTAGCAAGTATTTTCCAAATATTCCAATTCCTACCTAGTGTACACATATTGCAGCTTAGTTTAAATGGATCACATTGTTATTTAAACCTTAAAGGGGTTAATTAAGCTGTCAATTTCATGTTCACCAATTTGACTCAAATTCTCATATTTCATACTAGTATATAACGTACTAAAACGTAAAACCGAATTATAAAAAGTATAAAATAAACAATTAACAACGCATGGGCTCAATAACATGTATCAGCATTTCGTGTTTATTTTAGTCTAGACACCATCTAATAAACATCGAGGTGACCTCCGACGGTCATTTAATCCGATATAAACATAAATATATATATATAAATAGATAGCGAGCTCGTGCAATTATATTTTTCTAGGTCTGTTTGATTTCATATTCTAGATTAAATATATATGTTAATCATCGTTTTTTACCTGTATAAGAACGATTTTTGTGGATCGAATGGTTTCACTTTCAAATGTTGACATTCTTTGCTTTTAATAACTGAACATGCCTAATTCATGCGTAACCCATCTCTATCTGAAGGGTTTAATTCAAGGTCTCATTCAATGAGATCGAATTATTCACTTATAAGTCAATAATTCATCAGCGATGTTTCTTAGCTTATTTTGACAAAATTGAACCAAAATGGCTACTAATAGCGAATTATTATGTCACTATTCCACTTTCATTAATGATTGAACAAAAACAAATTATTTTGTATTTTTATAACTCGTAGCTAATGTCCCTTTAACCCTTTGAACAAAAACAGGTTAAAAAATAATAAAATTTATATAACTTATATAATATAAATGAGGAATCTTTCTGCGAAAATCTCACAAAAAAAAACTATTGTTCTCTATTTACACTAATACAGAAAATCAAATAAGGTAAATTGATTCAGGACAAAATATCTCATTACATTTTGCAAAACATTACAACAAATGAAAATCGCTTTTAAATTATGATTTCTTGTATTGAATTTCTATTCAATGATAAGTTTAATAAGATTTTTTAGGGTGTTGAAATACCTTTAAAGTTGAAAATGAGACAAGTCTTACATTTCTTTTTCTTTTGAAATAAGTTCAGGGTCAGACAAACTTTTCACGATCTGAGAATACATTGAGGAAGAAATCAAAAATTTTTTCGTCTTCTTTCCTTGACAAATACGTACATTTATCTTTTTTATAAAGTGCAGAAGTATCATTTTCACAAGTTGT